CGTAACAGTAACAGAGTTAGTAATTTATTAAATTACATGTCATATAAAGCTAGATCTGTAATAACTTTTTGCATACGTTTCATATTTCCATTGAATATTATAATCTTTAAACTGTGACATCTAGGTCGTTACACTTTAGTAATATTCCATAGGTTCATGATACACAATATCGATTTGTAATCTGAATTTTTTAGAGAACCGTCATCATCGTACATCTTTTTAGTACAGAAATAAGTGGATAATAACCCTTTTATTCATTCATTAGATCAATTGCTCAGTGCCCTAGAAATATGTAGCCCCAGTTTTCTTGTGTTCTAATTTTAATATTAGTACCATCAACCCCAAGTTGTTTATTATTATATAACAAAAACGAAAGAAGTACCCACACCCTTAGTACAATAAAGGTAAGTTACAGTGAAAGCTTAAATACCAGAAAGTAAAACTAGGATTAATTGTTGTTTTATGTTCGTTTGTTGTCTGTAAAGGCTGGAGCCTAAACTAGGACACCTTGTGCTTTAGGTCTCCAGGCAACCCACGGATAATATATTCTAAAAACAATGACTACGGCAAGAATTATTCATATGATGGATAAGAAAAAAATCATTTTCACTTCTCATACTCTTAAAGTTTGTATTTATGCTGGGTGTAGGCTGTATAACATAGGATTTTATGCTCTAGTGCATAAAATAAAAAACCATAACATTAAATATGTGTAATTGTTATAATTTTACATTCAATTTTAATTAAATAATTGTTTATTTGTTATATTGTTGTATAATTTCCTCGCAATCGATCGAGTGTATAACTCGTTCATAAAACCAAAGTGACGCGTTTTAGGCACTTGTCCTACAATCTACTTATGAAATAAAGCAAAATGTTAAAAAAGTAAAAATTTCATGTTAAAAATAAAAACATAAAGGATACAATTATTTGGCATCTGGGCGTCTACTCCCAAAAGTAAAATCCGATACACGTAGCTGCGTACGTCCTTCGTTACTAAGGAAGCTACTACGAAAAGCCAACTTTTTTATTTCGTACGCAGTTGCGGTTGTATATTTTGAGAGTAGGCCTCCTGGTACGGTTTGCTAGAAGACGCCAGTTGGAATCCGGCCGGATAGAGAGAATTTTTTTTAAGTGTTCAATCTTTGTATTATAATTATAACAAACTAGTGGAGTAATTTCGCAAAAAAATTGCATATCCATTCAATACAAATAATTAGCAATTGTTCATCACATTCCAGCGTATAGGTATTCCTATAAGTAAGCCTCCGGTGTCCTCATATGACATTTGCCAGTTAGTGACCAAATTCTTACATTGAAGTTTTTTTAGCGGATATATTTGCAATTTTCTAACACATTGGGCACGGTACTTGCCGGCTCTTCGGTTTCCCAGACAGTCTATTAATTTGTATAATAAATTTCGTTGTGATATAAGTAGGGGAACGTGGGGTATTGGGAGCCCGCAAGTAAAGAAAGGGTTCGTCCAGTGAAGTACTGCTACCTTACCTATCTCTGTCGCCAAGCAGTAATGTGAGCATTACTGCGTTCCGGTTTTGAATAAGGGCGCTGGTATAACAGGAACATGGGACTTGTCAACTTTTTTTATTCATTTCAAGAAAAATACAGCAGGCAACTTATTTACTAAACATGTGCACTCCTACTCAATTTATACCTACATTACTATGTATTTTATAACATTGCATAATATTAACTGTACTGACTAAATAAAATATAATAATAAAGAAAGAAAGAAAGAAAGAAAGAAAGAAAAATTGTTTATTAGCGTCATAATTATGCCATATTACAATTTACAAATTTTACATTCTTAAGCCTAGATATAAGTATAACGCTAAACCGACGTCTACTCAGCATTAGTCGAGGCATTTGCAACACCCCAACGCTGGTCTTCCGGAGACACCGGCCAGTTACGAAGTACCACTACGCGCTGCAAAGTAAATAACATTAAGAAATTCGCCTTTAACCATTGACTTACAATTATATGGACGTCGGGTCCGCGCTAAAAAGTGTCCGCACTTGCAAGGCGCTAAAATCGTATACAGAGCGCGACACTCCGCTTTAGTCTTCATTTGTTCTACGGTCAGCGCGATACTGCGATGACATTACAATTTAAATTTCGAATAGGTTGACTTGGGACATTTTTTTCGTGGTTTTTGTATTAGACCCGTCGTCCATTTATTTGTTAGTCAATGCCTTTAACCCACATTTTAGTGCATATTTACTTAATTTCGTGTCATTCCTTAGCCAGTAAATATCGTTATATATTTTTGGAACTAAATAACACGTACATCTTTTTCCATAATAGTTATTTGTTTTACTTATGTCTCAGGGCGTCGGGCGCAGTGGCAGTGCCTCAAAGGTCTTTGCGATTTAAGGCGATTCATCGGGGAGAAGCAGGAAAAACTATTTTGCTATATCAAATTAAGTTGGTTAAACAAATGTAAATAACGCTCTTACAAAAAATATACTATGCACTTAAGGATATTGTCTAAATAATGTGCTAATTTGTTACACGTTATGATGTACTTTAGCGTAGATGTGGTCTTCTTCATAGCAATATAATAACACAATGATTTTCCACGTGGAAACCGTATAATTTTGACTCAATTTAATTACATATTTAATTATATTTTTAAAAGTGCCAATACGTAACTTGTAATAAAGTTTACCCTATCCTATAAAATCTTGAAAACAGGCTAAACGTAAAGGTCTAAAATGAATTATAAAATATCTAACTTTGTACATACAAATTTTTATACGTAGATATTTCTTTTTAAATAGGTACGTACTATAAAGAACCTGCTAAACTTTGGTTTTCAATGTTAGTTATTTAATTTCAAAGTAATTTAATTATTTATTGAATTCACACTTATCCCATTCTCCAGCTGTTTAAAGACACGCCGCGCCGCCAGCTGCCCCGTCAGCCACCATCGGGCGCTTGTCGACGTCGGATCTGTGTCAAATTTTCTCCGGCTATTCTTATTTTATTCATATGAATTTACAGCGCGCGGATTGCGGGCCGCGAGAGGCGCTGCGCCACACCTCACCTCCTAAAATCTAGGCTCGCGTTGTAATGTAAAATAACCATACATATTTCCCATATCTATGAAAATACCTCGCCTTAATAGCCATCGCGAGAACTCTAAAGTTTAAAGTACGTTTAGAGTGCAAAGCTCTGGCCTTGAAGTTTACATTTTAAAAAATAACAACAGTTGGCGAATCAATAATTTGACCTTCACTTTGACTTCTATTTGCAAAGAGATAAGAGATACCGAGGCGATAGTGACACACCAAAAATAGAAGCGTGGCTTTATGATATTCTTACATTTTTTTTATTACATCAAGTGACGGGACGAACAAATCGTGAGCCTGATGGTGAGCTACACGCCTGTCCTTAACAGTTACAGTGCCACTCAGAGCTTTCAATTGCAAATTTCTGAGGGACACTACCACTGTGCCCGTCACACTGACCCATAAGTTGACGAGTCCCATGTGCCTGTAACTTCACTAGCACCCTTACCCCTCAAAACCGGAACACATAAAAAAAATACTCTACACCTAAGGATATTGTCTATAAAATGCACTAATTTGTTACACATTACGATGTACTTTAGGGTATAGATGTGGTCTTCTTCATAACAATATAATAACACAGTGATTTTCCACTTGGAAACAGTTTAATTTTGACTCAATTTAATTACATTTTTAATTACACCAACATTTTTAATTATGCCAATACGTAACCCGAAAATGCTTATAATGCTAAATGGGTCCCTACATACTTACCCAATCATATAAAATCTTGCAAAACAGGATAAAATTTGGATTTAAAACGAATTATTTAAGAAATTTTTAACTTTTAAGAAGATTATTTAACTTTAAGAAAGCATATTACGTTGTCTAAAATTGTATTATTTCAATGAAACATGTAGCAGTAGAGCTCCTTGTGAAAGAGTTGATCCAGGGTAGTACTGACACCTTACCTATTTATGCCACCAAGCAGTAATGTCAGCATTACTGTGCTCCTGTTTAGAAGGGTCCTGTGTGTGGAACCTGTCAACTTATGCCATCAGGCGCGCGATTTGTTCATTCCCTCACTTAGTCATTATGAAAAAAAAATATGAAACGATGATTTTTAAATAGCTGAACAGATGCTATAAACACAACTTAAAACTCTTTTCCGTTAGGGAATAAAAATTAAATTTAGCAACACAGTCAACGCGCTGACGTATGGCGCACAATTCAAAATGGCGGCTGTTATTTTACATTGGAGCACAACTTCGCGTATCGCGTTTACATGGACGAAATATTGAGAACTTTTTTGGTATCCGCGGCAATCGACGTGGTATCGACAAAGCATGGTCGACACCACGTCACACTTATTTTACAATAAAACCAATCAATTGAACATAAAAATAAGAATAAGTTATCGAAAAACATGGAGAAAACAATCAAACGTTAGAAAGTGTCCATTGTTGTTGGACCCGTAAAAAATAACTGGGTGTAACAAGGTCAATCTGTAAAACGACTAAAATGTAGCTAAAAACGTAGTAAAATTACTCAGAAAATAAGTTTAAAACCTTTCAACATAATATCAACGAACAATCAGGCATTAAATGATCAAATGCAGAGTACGTTTAATAAATCAATATATGGCCTCAATCCAGTACCTTGAGGAACACCTATGTAATAACTCGCGTTATCGGCGTTATCAAGTATTTATTCTGCACACTATCTCTACTGGTTGATAACTGCAATATTTTACCGTGTTTTTCATACATTACTAATTTTCTAAAGCGAAAAAATCTACTACCAACATTAGCGACTCAATCGAATACTTCCGTGAATCAACGAAAATATAATCATATGTATAAGGGAATTATACGATGATATCATATCCGTTTAACGTGAATTTCATAAGATAAGATATGATAGGAGTCGCACTAACTTTCAAATGTTTCGGCATTGTTAGTGGGCGCGTTAAACACCGCTGTACTGTACTGTGAAATAATTTTCTACAAGTACAGTAGGATTTTGGTCCTACATTAAAGTTTAAGTGAAATGACATTAAGAGACATGGGTTTTCTAAGTTGGGGTTTAGTTTTGTTCCTGGCAGCTACGGCTTCTGCACAGACACAGTGTGAGTTCTAATCTATTTTTATCTAAAATGTATCGTTATATAATCTAATTAATTTATTCATATCACGAGACTTCTAACAAAACGCGGTTCAAACCGTAGCTAACCACGCAGTGTGGGTTGGAGTAAGTAGATTTAATAACGACGTTTCCTATGGCTTTAAACTTATAGTATTTAAACTAAACTGCAGATGATTCGTAAAGATAATCCAGACATCAAGGTGAGATCAGATCCTAGACAAGCATCCTATGATCTAGCTTTCATTGCGCTTATGTACGAAGATATAACTGAACATGTATGTAACGCTGAACATCCAGATACAGTTTTTTTTTGCATCATAAATACCGCCATCACGTTCTATATTGATCAATCAATTGATAAGACACCCAAAAATTGTGAAAGCGTTGTGTCATGTGACTTATATCTAGACACACGATAGTGTTCAATCAACATTCATAAAAAAGGGCGAGGCACTGTCTAAGTGTTATATTGTACTAACCATTTCATTTCTGAACCTATAGCTGAAACACATACATATAGCTGAAAATGTACTTGACGTGCAGACTTGTGATTTCCTTCATCACATTTGTTCACCACTTAAAACTGTTTAAACATTTGTAAGTGATATAGAACAACATACTATTCTTCTTCTACTGCAAGTGCCTCTCCATTATTGAAGGTCGGCAGTCAGTTTTCTATATCTTTCTTTGTCCAGAGTTAGCCTGAACAGTTTTTCCACGGTCTTGAATGCCGGGTCGAAGGTCCATTGCCTGATGTTACGAAGCCATAACATTTTCCTTCTTCCAACCTTTCGCTTCCCAGCTACTTTACCCATCATTATGGTGTGCAACAGATGATATGTGTCATGTTGCAGTACATGACCCAAATAGGCAATCTTCTGCTGCTTGACAGTGCGTACCAGTTCCACCTTCTTCGCCATACCATACCATGCGGAGCATTCTATGATGATGACATTTCGAACGCATCAGTCGCATCGCATTTCGGTCCATGATGCGCATCCATAAACGACGTTGTTGTCATCAGTATGTTAACGTCAGTATCATTATTTGTTACATTCATTTAATAGCCTTTGGAAGAAACGTTTGCATTAATGCATTAGAAAAATGTCTGCCACAGCCATTGACTTACAAATAAATGGACGACGGGTCTAATACAAAAACCACGAAAAAAAATGTCCCAAGTCAACCTATTCGAAATTTAAATTGTAATGTCATCGCAGTATCGCGCTGTCAGTCGAACAAATGAAGACTAAAGCGGAGTTTGGAGCTCTGTATACGATTTTAGCGCCTTACAAGTGCGGACACTTTTTAGCGCGGACCCGACGTCCATATAATTGTAAGTCAATGGCCACAGCGCATCAATCGGCAAAAGCATCGTACTTTTGCCAATTAATGCTTGCGCGAATGTGTTAGATAGGAGATATCAATTCATACACAACCACCAAAGACCTTCCAAATGAAGGAATAAATAAATCGTGCACCTGGTGGTAAGTGACATGTCCAAATCCATTACAGTTGCAGTGCCTAAAGCTTCAGAACAGGGACACTGGCACTGCGCCCGTGCCTCTGAAACATAAGTTGACAAGTCCCATGCGCCTGTAATTTTACAAGCACCCTTACCCTTTCAAGAAATAGGTAATGTGGCAGTACTTCCCTGGACCAACCCTTTCACGGGGGATTCTACTGCATCTAAAATACCATACGGTATTGTGCCCCATCTTCCTCGAGTCGTTCGTCTGTATCCATCTTGTCGCAGGGCGTCCTATACTACGTTAGCTTTGACATGGCCGCCATTCCAAATAATATATAGTCTACTCGTTAGATAGCTATAGATTTATGCACGGTCACTGTTACATATCTACCTTTGGTATAATAAAGATAATTAAGTATTATGCATTTTAGTAAAACGTGTTGTTATGATAATACGAACTACATGAAAAAATTATGCATATTGTACAGGTTGTCCCACGGCTAAGCCACACGGAGGGAAGGTACCTTAAATAGATAGAAAATTTTACTCAAAGAAGACTTAATATTTATTTTAAAAACAATTCGAACTACGTTCAAAGATTTTTAAATAATAATAAAAGAACCGGGAAACGAACCCGCCAAATGTGAAACAAAACAATTGTAATTTTACTATAGCCTCAAACATAAAGATTGTATTCTTCTAACTAATATAGCATCTTAAATAAAAGGAAGGCCATGAAATTTTACATTTACTTTACAATTTTGTTCAAGAAATTGAATAAGCCGTTTCTCTGACCTTGCCGCGCCCATAACAACTGACATTACCATTTCAAAGTATTACTAATGAGTACAAACTTGAGAAAGAGTTTCCCTATTATAAGTGCATGATGAAATGTAATGCAATGCAAACTTTAAAATGATGATGTCAGTTGTTATGAGCGCGGCAAAAGCAGAGAATAGGCTATTCACCCGTCAATTGTTTCAAATTCGGGCTGGCCAATCAGAGCGCAGATGTCCTCGTAATGAACTTGGCAGAATAATTTGAAAATAAATTAAATGACATTTCGTCTCTATTTCTGGTTATTTATTCGATGACCTATGTATACAAAAGTAGTTATTTTAGTGGGAGCTTCTTACATTTCGAATCTTTTGTCAATGTCATCGAGTACATTTGGATCTTAGACTAATTTTTTTTCCCAACCTCTAAGATTTGGATGTACTCGATGGTCGATCTGGTCGATTCATTCATTCCGGGATTGGCAACTTTTTGACATATCCGGTTTTGGCGGTATCTTGTATTACTATTCATTTGATAAAATGTAAGGTGAGTCGCTGAGTCACGTTTTCAAGGAATTTTCGTAGTAATCTGACTTGTAGTTCTTCTATATTGATTACGTACTACATGAACAATGTTACACCTGACCATTGAGGCATTTAAAAAAAGAAGCAATGTCGAAATTTGAGCTTTGTTGGCATTTTGTTGGTGACTTTCGTTCTTCTAAGTATCTCCTTATTTCTGATTCAATTGCTCGCTCCATAGCTCACTGAGTGACTTTGACCTTTTTTACGATGCCCATAGTAAGCGACCACGTCTCAGAGCAGTAGGTCACTGGAATTCATTCATTCAATTCGATTTCCATGGTAGCTTACGCATATAATCTTAAGGTCGTATTCCAGAACTCAACTCAATGCTCAAGTCAGGACTTGAGTATGATTTCAAGCACTGGAAATACGACCCCAATGGCAAGGACTTGAGTACAATTTGTAGTGCTTTAAATCATACTCAAGTCCTGCCTTGAGCATTGAATAGAGTTCTGGAATACGACCGTCATTCTGTGGAGGCTCTAAGGACTAACAATGATCAGTGGTTACGAGAAATTTAGTTTGGGATACATTTGCCTTGCTAAGAATACAATAAAAGCCTTAGAATAATAACGAATAGAAACCTAGTCCGCACACGCTAAGTGCAAATTGAAGCGCGCCCAATGGGCCTACACGAGCGGGCGGGCCTTCAGTGCTCAAGGTCAACTTGCACCGCGAACAGATCAAGAATTTTAGCTAAAAATGACGAATTGTGCGGTAAATGAGTGTAAAAATACGTCAGACAAACATAAATTAGATACTAACATCACATTCCACAAGGAAGTAAAGCGTTTCAACTTGTATTTTTATATAAATATTCACTAAAACCGAAAATTAACCTACTACTAAAACTAGCCTACATGAATTTGATTTTTGCCTCACTTGTGACAGTTCGTTTGATATGAAACTATCATTCTATGCATTATTATTCTAAGATAAAAGCTTTAAATCGCAAAGGTCTGAGGTACACTGCCACTGGGCATGTCGTCCCGAGACACAAGGCCTGTAGTTTCACCAGGACCTTTTTATCAAAACCGGAATGCATTAATGCTCTCATTACTGCTCAGCGGCAGAAATAAGTAAGGTGGCAGTACTTCCCTAGACGAACTCTTACATAAGGAGCTCTACTGCTACGAACCACTACTATCTTTCCAGTAGAGCTAGCACGACAGGCCCGACTAACGCGAGAGCGACATACTCTATGCGAGAATAGCTGTATCTCGCGCTTTTATGTCGCTCTCGCGGAAATCGCGCCTTGTTGTGCTAGCCCTACAGGTACAATAGGCTAACATGTGTTGCTGTTACAGTTTAGTAATAAAACTTGTATTCTTTCACAGTTACAGCGTGTGTAAGATTTACCGAACAGAGGCTCTGCCGTACCCTCGAAGCGACAGGCAGTCAAGTAGCATGCTCATTGGCAGGGACAAAGTAAGTTTAAAGAGATAGTAGAGTGGCTTAATAATAACAAACTAAATGTAAACCTTAATAAGACTAAAATTATGAACTTTCAACTAACAAACTACCCCTTTAATCAATTTACTATTAATCATTTTGACATTGACATGACTACTACTACTAAATTTCTAGGCTTGTTTATAGACTGTAACATATTATGGTATTGAATTTACATGTAAGAAGATAAATCAGTTCTCATACGCCCTATTTACATATGTTAAGGAAGAAAAGCCTTGAGGTGGTCCAAACAGCATATCCCGGTTTCATAGCTTCAAGATTGCGTTACGGAATAATTTTCTGGGGTAATACAATAATTGTGAAGAGAGTGTTCCTAGCGCAAAAAAAATGTATTAGAGCAATGTGTGGTTTAAAACGATCAGACAGCTGTAGGCCTTAAGAAACATAGATTACTAACGTTAACATCTCTTTATGTATTTCATCAGAGGCAATCCAAAATTATTTAAGTATATTAAGAGTGCCCGTAGGATTAATAAAGTTGACAGCGTGGGTGGCAGATCTGCCCTTATAGAATAGAATAGAATAGAATTATTTGTTTCGGACCATGATACATACATAGTAATGTTAGTAATACAGTAAATTTTTGAATGAATGAAATATTCTTTATTGCACATTAAAAATTACAATGACGAAGCAGGATAGTAATGTAAGTATCACAGAGTAAGATAATGTACAACAGGCGGCCTTATTGCTAAGTAGCAATTTCTTCTACGCAACCTTAGGATAGAAATTTAACAGTTGGATTATGAGGCGCAACCAAAGAATGTCTTGTAATGAAAGTGGTTATAAATAAATACACTACTCATCAATAAAGTAAATATATTAACTATAATATCAAACGTATACATTATTATAATAAATACACAAATAATAATAAAATTATACTCGTACATATATATATATATATGGAATACTTAAATACTTTTGTAGGAAAATAAAATAAATAGCAATAATAATAAGATAAATATACAAAGGAGATTATAACACTATGCAATAAAATAAAATAAAGGAATGGACAATAAAATAAACAAAAACTAAAAAAAAACAAAACGACGTTTGAAGCAATCGAGAGAAGGAGATCGACGAATAGGTTCTGGGAGAGAATTTCATAAACGGATAGCAGACACAGTAAATGAGTTGGAGTAAAAATCAGAGCCATGTCCATGTGAAATCATGTTCAGCATGAGTGTATCAGAGGACTGTGACATTTAAATATGCACACGGCGTATCTTCGACTTCCCGCCGACTCGCCTTTGACGAACGCACGTTTACGGCGCCGTAGAGACTCAAAAAAATTATTGTTACGCGATATGACATACGTTTACGACGCCATTGAATTTGTGAACGTGTGCAAAGGTTTACTCACTGCGACTGCATCGCGTTTGAATCGCTTTTATTTTATAGTACCAAGTGACGGGACGAACACGCCGTGCGCCTGGTGATAAGCGACACGCCTGTTCATAACAGTTGCAGTGCCACTCAGGGCTTTAAATCGCAAAAATCTGAGGGGCACTTCCCCTGCGCCCGTCACCCTGAGACATAAGTTGACCAGTCCCATGTGCTTGTAATTTCACCAGGAACCTTACCCTTCTAAACCGACGCTCTGCTACTATGCGTTTAGGCACGTCATCTTCACGTCGTCGGCTCGTATAAAACACAGACTATTAGATGTATAAAATGCGTCGTCTGCACAGGCTCTCAATATGAAAACTAGTAATGGCGCGGCTACAATGGCACCACTGCAGCACTTCAGTGCTGTCCATCGAGTATAATATACTCGATGATGCCGTCTAATTTGAAGGCGCAATTACACTGTCCACGTTTATTAAGTGGCAATCGCCACAGAGAACGCTCTTCTGTAAACTAATTTTATAGGAGAGGGTTTGTTTTCAAATATTTCTACATGAAAATCTTAACCGATTATGTGAGATATGTAGGATAATTTTAATGGCGAATGCAGCCTCAAAAACGTTATTAGGAACGTAGCGATATGACGAGAGTGAAGGAGAAGAGACGAGAGAGAGATTTTGATTTTCATGGGTGCCTCATGTCTTTTCTGTTGAAAAATTTAAAGAAAAAAAAAGAAGAAGTACGAGCCAAAATTTACTAATGTCTTTACAACGGAGAACATCTCACCCCATCCCACATAAATGTGATACTAAATTGAATTTTAATGTATAATGTATAATATATATGATATATATTCAGCTATTTTTTTTAAACAATGGATCTCTATCTAAAAATTTTTGAAACTTTCAGGCATTGACTTACAAATAAATGGACAAGGAATATGACAAGGCTAAAACGTTGAATTTAAATTGTAATGTCATCGCAGTACCTACTATCTAATTTTGCTTGCTTCGCTGTCAGTCGAACAAACGAAGACTAAAGCGTGAATGATATATATATAAGTTCGGACACTTTTTAGCGCGGACCCGACGTCCATATAATTGTAAGTCAATGCTTTCAGGCGTCTAAGCTAACACTTGCGATTAAAAATTAATCAGTACAGAGTAATAAAGAAACTAACCTCAAAAGTCACTCATGTTTAGATTGCCACCCTTAGAGGTGGATATTTTCTTAACATTTAGGTAAATGGGGCCTCTAGTGAGGCACCCTCTTTCAAAAAAAAGGATCATCAAAATCGGTTCACAAGTCGTGCGAGCGAGTTATCGCGTAACATACATACAAAAAAAATCATTCGAGTCGAATTGAGAACCTTTTTTGACGGTTAAAAATATGCAACAATTGTTAATAGTACCCAAGCGACGAAATTTTGATGTACTGTGTCAGTTGCGATAACAAGTGGGATCGATTACGTCATGATTTTTTAATATTGATTCTGTCGGTTACACTAAAAATAACAGTCGAGCTAACGATAAACTTACTTTTTACTACTTGTAATTTCTATTTAATGTAATTTTGACGGGAAATATCGACGCGTCCCTTAGAGGATGGAAAAAAATAAACGCGTCCTTGTCAGTTATAGTTTAAAATACAATTTGCATCATTTACATTTGGAAACTTTGGCATATGCTGAGCATGTTTTTTTCTTTTCTGTTCTTATAGATAGATAAACACTTTATTCACTAGTATGACACAAACATAGATTGAATGCGACAGGAAAAATAAAATATTTTTTGTAATTTTTGTCATAAATTAAATATTTTTTTGACAAGTGACAACGGTAGATAGAGAGATGCTTCAATGTTTTGGTCATGTAGAAAGAATGAATGTTACGTAGATTTACGGCACAAACTTGCGAGGTTGGAAGCGTGGGGAGAGGTAGAGGTAGAGAGGATGTCCTTAAGAAAGGCCGGGTAAAAAGACCAATAAACGGGCATGTATGAAGAGATTGATGGGAGTGGAGGAAGCGAAGGAGGTTTGTCAGGAGCGTAGCAAGTGGAGGTCAATAGTCTGTGCCTACCCCGTCGGGAGACAGGCATGATGATATGTATGTATGTATTAAATATTTTTCAACACATTTGCTCGTAACGGGCTTCTTATTGTATCGCTTTTAGGCTCATAAACCTAGCTATTGAACACGCGTTTGTAATTATATTACGAAACGTGTGTGTAATAAGTATAGGCTTAACCGGATTAAGATGTATCTCACAACAAGGCCTATGTATTAAAACTATGCATTCTTAAATTATCCGGGTTATGTGTTTGAAATTAACTTGGTCTATTAAAAAAACAGCTCTAACCTACATATTATAAGATTCAAATTACAATGACAGTAATCCCAAACAAACAGGGTCACAGTTTTTTTTTTATTTCTGTTTAATACGGTTGTGTAGTCTTACCTTACAAATAATATTTTTATTAATAAATTTATATTTCTTATTTGATGTGATAAATATAGAAAAACATACACAATATACACCTATAAAACTTTAATTGAATAAAATTACTTATTTTGGATAATATTTTACACGAATTTGAGTGAAATAAGGACATATTTATATTATTTCGCATTGGCTGTTTAGGAATTTCACCTAAGTCTCATTATTGCCGAAGCACCTGCGCGCGCATATCCGCGCCGCGGCGCCAGGCGCAGAAAAAATAACTCTGCGCGCCAATTTCCATTGATACGTTCGAAACATTTATATACGCTGTGTGTTAGATAATTACCTAGGTGTTTAAAATGTCCTGCTCAAGCACGGAAGAAAACATTTTGATGGATTTAACACCGCCCGAAATCCTCACAGAGGCACAAAACGCAAGTGACAGTTTATTACCTTCGAAATCCAGAGAAAAATACATGGCTGCATATGAAACTTTTAATTAATGCCAAATAAAGCTATTTTTCATTTCCATTTTACTCAAGTTTGTTTCATTTTCCTCGCAAATGTGTTGAAAAACGTCGTATGAAACACGTGTGCTTTGATCATTACACTCTCGGCTTTCTTATCGCGCTCGCCTGCGGCTCGCGCGAGTAATAACGCCTCGTGTGTAATGACCAACTTAGCACACTTGTATCATAATGTACTATTATGTCACAATCTCACGTATTCTACTGACTGCGTATACAGCAGAGCTCAATCTGCTGACTAAGTAACATGTTTAATATACCGAAACCAACCTGTGCAAAGAACAGTTTAAATAAGTGTTTCATGAAATTATTTTTCAACAGCGTTGACTGCGCATTAAGACTGGCAAGAAATGAAGTGGACTTCGGCGTATTCACTGAGGAAGAAGTTCTTCTGATGGGCCAGAGACAAATCAACGTGAATCATGTTGTTGCCACTATAAGGGATGCTCAGAGGATTGGTAAGCTCTCGTTTTATCCATCCATTCTTTCCTACCTAACAGTGCCGGCTTACCTACACCGTACCCCGGACACTCCATAGAACGGTTAAAAGTTATTTACCTACGACTACTACTACATACAGCAAGGCGCTATCTGCACACTCGCAAATGTCTGCGTGAACGGCAGGGTTACCCATCACTTGCTCGTACTATTTCGTTAAGCGAAAATTCTAAAGCGAATCTGTTATCTATAATTCTGTTAATAGAATACTAATATTTACACATGTCTATTAAGTATTTATATCAATATAATATTATATTTTTCATTAACTCGGAAAACGAAAGAACCTCCTCTCTTTGTCTCGTTTAGATGATAATAAACAGCATGATAATAAATAGTAACGTAAAACGATGTTATACTAACTTACATGTAGATATATTAACTTACAAGTTTCGTAATAAATAAATGAAAACTATATTCAAATATCAAAGCCGTCTTAGCGAGAAAACGGCTCGCCGACAGCCTTGTTGCCGTCCAATCAATGTGACCGTCAATGTTCGGGGCGTGGTGCGGTCTAAAGCTAGTTACTTTTTTGTCATCTGCCTATTCCATGGACCAATAACCCAAGAGGACTGCTAATCGTGATCCAAGACAGCGTAGTCGAGTATTTAGTACCAATTACTACTACTACACTAAGTATGGCCAGTACAACCCAATGGTTTACAGTAATATAATTGGTGAAATAAAGTATGTCATCAAAAAAGACAGGGATAAACGTGTCAGTAAACGGCATGTGGGTACACGCAAGGGAACACGTTCTGGACTAAAAAGAAAGGTATAAATTTTACGTATGTAAAACAACACGACATAAAATAATCGTATAGATCTTTAAGACATTGCATTCCGCACACACCCATTTGCGGATATAACTGTAACAAAAATTAAAAACAATAAACAACTTCGGCCGGATCTAAGGAATTTTTTCTGGGTGTTCGATCTTTGTACTTATTAATAATTATAACAAACTACTGGAGTAATTTCACAAAAAATAATTGAATATCAATTCAACAAAAATTTTAAATACAGTAAATAGCGACATGTCTCGCCAGGACTGGTAGCTGTAAAGGTACTAACTGGGTGATAAATCTTTAACAGATTTCTCATAGATGGCGCTACGACTAAAAAGTCGTTGAAAAACCAAAATACAAAGACACACGCAAGCACATAGAAAAATTCGTGAGGTTCGCTGGTTGGTATAGCGTCTGACACGGTAAGCTAGAAGACGTCGCGTCGGTTCGAATCCGGTCGGACCGAAGGAATTTTTTCTGAGTGTTTGATCTTTGCATTAATAATTATAACAAACTAATGGAGTAAATTCACAAAAAATAATTGAATATCAATTCAATAAAAATTAAAAATAAATAATTTTGTATTCTATTCTATTCTACCAAATAGCTATTATTGTAACTAATTTGTATTTAATTGACAAACTGCAATATTACAAAGCTGCTCTAATTTCTAGTGATAACAAACAAATCAACTAGATGGCGCTTATTACACAGATTTGTATAGATAGTGCCGGCTATATTTCAGTTCTGTTTAGGATTAGCGCCATCTACCGATGTTAGGAAGAGTTAATTTATAAATTAGTTTGTAAAACACAATGCCATCTATTGTCAGGTTCAGAAAATAATTTTAGCTCATGATTAATATTTGAATAATATTACAAGGAAAAACCTGACTTCTTATATTTTGGATTAAAAGGGAATTAATTAATTTCCACGGCCATTACTTGATATAAACTACATCCGGGCGCCATCGGATCAGCGCCGCCTAACAGACGGAATTGTCACCTTTTTAAATTACTATCTGTAATAGAGACATATAATTAGAAATAGAGACGTACTACGTCAAATGGTACTAATATCACTTTTAAATATCAACTCTCGTTTGCGCTGAAATCACAAATTAGAAAGCTGAAATAGTACAGCGCCAACAACTGACCTGTGTGCGTCTCCGTATATTCCAAAAATATTCTATATTTGTTGTAATAAAGATAATATCTCTAACTACGGGGGGCTGTTCCATTCGGTGGTGTGGGAAAAACAGCAAAACATCTAATTACAAAACAAACGGCATCACATTTCGTCGATAATTAAATATTAAATATTTAATTTTCCAATTTTCGTCCATTATAGCAAAGCTCAAGTTAAACTGGTCGATTTGAAGTGAAACAATTGACGACACCCGTCAATTGTTTCGAATTCACCGTCACCGTAATGATTTGGCAGAACAGTTTTCAAACAAATTAAATGACATTTCGTCTCTATTTCTGGTTATATACTCGATGTATGGAGATTAGCATTCCTCTTTAATTACTGGTCTATGCCCTATGCCGTGGGGCTTATTAAATGAGTTAATGATAATGATAATTAATTTATTAACCCCATCCGTAACTTAATCCACAGGTCCAACCGCATTCGAAGCCGTGGCTATAGTTCCAGCCACATACTCCGGTGGTCTAACAGGTTTCGCAGGGGCGAGATATTGCCATCCCGGTCTGGATCAGACCGAACAGAGGTGGTCACCTAGAGTACTCAAAGGCATGGAATATGTTGTAAGTGAAGGCAGAAACTTTCTATATTAAACACTTGTAAAGGTTTATAGAACAATGGCAAAATCATAGTGAAAATAATTCGTTAGCGTCTTCAAATGTCTTAATTACAAGTTTGAATAAAATAAATTCATTAGGTTTTTTAAATTATAATAGTGGAAATAAAATCATATTTAAAAGAAACTCTAATGACTAATTAGTATGTAACTGGACTGATATCTTCAACTGTCAGAAACAGAATTTCAGTACCTAGTACAGATATGGTCCACATTTACTTCACGTAAAATCGAATGTACTAATTCGACCGAAAAAATTAAGTCGATAATTTCTTCTCCAAAATGTCACCCGAGAAAATGGTAACACTGACAAAAAAGTTGCCAAAATCAGGGATATCTATCCCTTATATATAAGGGCAGATAGGCACGTTTCACAAAAAAATAATTTGTGTCCGAGTTACCAGTCCAATAGTCTGTGGTATGTTAGTAATTAACTCAGTTTTTTTGTTATGGTTTAACTTCATGCCTCTTGACCACACCGTACACAAATAATTTCCTCTGAACTTTCGTCACGTCTCCAACCCACTGAACTCTGTTTAAGGCTCCCGTAGTTTACTTTCATATAATAATACACTAAATATATTTTATTCAATTACGTAACACATAACCTCCAAAACTTCAAACTGGAATATCTTTAACTCCAGACTTCTCAGATCAGTAAACCCAAAACCAAATTTGTTCAGGGATTTCAACTCTCTACTTGCACATATTTTTCATGAACAAAAATTTGTGTGGGAGTTTGCCATTGTCCTTTCATAAACATAATTATTAATACAAAAATCGACCACTTACAAAAAATTTCTTCGATCCGTCTGTAGTCGAACCAGCGCCTCCTAGCTAACCGTGCTAAACGCTACCGTGGTTTAGTTGGCAAACTAAGCCACGATACAAACCAACGGACCCTACGATTTTCCTATGTGATTATTGCAGATATTTGTTTTGGTTGTTAACGACTTTTTTGCCGTAGCGCCATCTATGGGAAATCTATTTGAATGTTTTGACAAGAGAAGTTTGATAAAATAAAAAATTCTTTTACATACAAAAAGAATAACGTTTTGTTAAATTTGACCAACTGCTGCTGTCCCGAATAATCGGAACTCAATAATATCGTATCGGAACATTGACTTACAAATAAATGGACGACGGGTCTAATACAAAAAACCACGAAAAAAATGTCCCAAGTCAACCTATTCGAAATTTAAATTGTAATGTCATCGCAGTATCGCGCTGTCAGTAGAACAAATGGAGACTAAAGCGGAGTGTAGCGCTCTGTATACGATTTTAGCGCCTTACAAGTGCGGACACTTTTTAGCGCGGACCCGACGTCCATATAATTGTAAGTCAATGTATCGGAAGGAAATAATTTCCTCCGATACAATAAAATCATTATTAAAAGAAACCAACATTAAAAAAAAATTGTCAAAATTGAAAACCAAATACAAAGATAGTGAGGTTCACTGGTTCGTTCAGTGGCTTAGTTGGCATAGCGTCTGGCACGGTTTACTAGAAGACGTCGGTTCGAATCCGGCTTCGAATTTTTTTCTGTTTGATCTTTGTGTTAATAATTATAACAGATTAGTGGAGTAATTTCCCAAAAAATAATTGAATATCAATTCAATAAAGCTATTAAATATCAACTGAAAAAGCGCCCATAACATGGTGCCTAAACTCTCCAACAAACTGCCACAAAGGTTCAAAATCGTATCCTTGGATATGTTCAGGAGGGAATTGTCAAGGCCATTGATTAAAAAACCTATTACACGGTTGACAAATATTTGAATGACAATATAGTGTGATTAACACTACTACTAACAGCATAAAAACAAGTCTTAAATCATATTTATTAAATAAACTTTGAACGTCCTATATACGTGAGTGACTGTTTTTATTGTAACACCACCCGGAGGGTATTTATCTGTTTTTAACCTTATAATAAATAAATAATATATTGATTGATTCATTCATTCATAAAAATCTAAAAATTAGTCAGTTACCTGCCTCTGAGGCCGAATGCTTACCATACCGGACTGCCACGCAGAGGTCCCGGGTTCGATTCACGGTGCAGGAGAAATATTTGTATGGCCTACATTTATTTCTCTCGTGAGTTTGGGTGCAATTTGTGGTTGTACATGTCTCCATTGTGCCCGCGATACAGAGTTACCCTAGTGCTGGGCTATGTTGAGTGTGTACGTTATTCTTATTATTATTAATTTTATCTACACACATAATATCATAAACTCTCTACAATGTATCGAGTTTTTAGGTTTTCGCGATTGTTACACATAGGAAATGAAACTATTTTTCCGGATTTAAATCGCGTATATTTGTTTTTTCAAACAAACCGACGTTTCGGGCCCTTTACGGCCCGAAACGTTGTTATAATGTGTTCAAAAACCGCAAATTACGACCAGCATAAAGGTAAACTGTTTTGTTAGAACAAATTTCTTATCTGTGAAAATGTTATTATTGCTTCTTAATAACATCGAATTCGATGTTATTAATACATTCAAATTTCGAACATCTCAGAAAAACAAAACAATTTTATTGGACCTCAATTCTAATATCGGTCGAGATGAAGTTTTATTTGAAATGAAATGTCAATAGCAAACAATTTTGACAATTTCACATGTTAACTTGATATCGAACGATATGATAGTTGGGACCGATTCTAGTTTATCCATGAATTAAAAATAAAAACTACGGTTGTATGACATGCGTAAAAAAAGTTTTTATTTACCGCCACTCGTAACATGCGGTTCCTGAACACATCACAGAGAGCTTATAAAATGTGTGTAGATAAAGCAGTGTATGTAATTGTACATAATTAGGCATTAAAATACGAGTGTGGGTTTATGAAACAAGTCGACAGGCGAGTTTCATAAAAAGCACCTCACGAGTGCAACAGTCGCATAAACTACTATCATTCATTCATTTTTGTTCACGTGTGCGTTTGATGTATAAAATGCTATTTTATATCATTTATTTAGGTACGTTGATTTTACTTATTGTAATTGATATTAAACTCTAAATTTAACAATATTATTGTTTTCGTCAGGTCGGTGGTACAGATCGTTGTCCCCAAGCAAACACAAACCAAAAAACTGCCGAAGAGATGGAGGTGGAGATCCTGAGCAATCTTTTCGTGGGCGCCTGCCGCCCTGGACAATGGAGCGCCAATGCCACTGTGGATGCCGATCTTAGTATGTGTATTTAATAAACCGGTGACCAATCAATATTCCGAAATGACATTTTCCAGAGATAACGTTTCGTCGAAATTTCATAACCTCGAGAGAAATTTAAAGAGGAAAATGTTTTTTTCTTTTAAACCTAACTTAACCTAACCTAACCGAACCTAATCCTGTCTTTGCGATAAACATTCAACATTATCCTGAAAGAACTACTGTTTCGTTATAAATCCTATTTCGGTGTAATGAAATTCGGACAAAAAAATTTTCGAGTTTATGATAGGTTACCTAACTAACCATGCCCAGTAAAGAAACTAACTTACATTAATATTGATCTTCTTAGCATATCGAGGGCATACACTATACTACTGTGGTGAAACGTAGTTTTAGAAAAAGCGGGTTAATTTTGAGACTCAGAAGTAGTGTTCGGGCAATCTGCGGTGCGTGGTTCGACGACAGCTGCAAACCGTTGCTCAAAGAAGTAAACCTGCTTCCTTTGCCATTTTTGTTTACATACCATCAAATGGCGGGACGAACAAGTCCTGCGCCTGATAGTAAACTACAGTAACAGTGCCACTCAGAGCTTTAAATTGCAAAGATCTGAGTGACACTACCACTGCGCCCGTCACACTGAGCCATAAGTTGACGAGTCCCATGTGCCTGTAATTTCACCAGCACCCTTACCCCTCAAAACCGGAACACAGTGATACTGACATTACTGCTTGGAGGCAGAAATAGGTAAGGTGGCAGTACTACCCTGGACGAACGAAGACTGGACGAAGAGCTCTACTGCTACTAGAAAGCTGGTAGAATCGGTTACCGGAAAGTGCGCGAAACCGGATACATCCCCTAGTTTGCCACCCTTAGAGGTGGAATAATTTCTTCAAATTGAAATGGGACCAATACTGAGGTACCCTCACAAATACCATAATAATAAATAAAAAACATACAATAATAAAAAAACAGTCCAAATGAAAACCTCCCCTTTTTTGAAGTCGGTTAACAAGGGTGTCTTCAGACACTGTGGAATCTTGCCTGATTTAAGGACGTCTTCTAGCTTGCTAAACTCGGCCAAACCACCTGAAGGCTTACCATGAACTCTTATTACAGTTATACTTACATATTACCTATATTACAGTGTTTTCGTTGTTTATAAAAATTAGAACTATACTGGATTATGTAAAAAATGTATGAATGTACCAAAATTAAATGTAAACCACCTCTCTTTGTATTCCACTATTAATATTTTATAAGCTTATGGTTATATACTTAGTTATTGTTATTTTAGGCAACACACTTGACGGACGTAAGTATAGTATAGTTAGTATAGGTTCGTAACGTCAAAAAAACTGAATCTTAGTGTGGCATCAGAGCTTATTAATACAAAAATGAAACAAAAAGAATCGATTTGTCAGGGCTTGAAACAGCATCTGTATACCAAAAATGATTTTATCAAAATTCCCTAGAACGCAGATACCCGAACCTGTGCTCCCTCTGCGGGCCAAACTCCAACTGCGACCGCTACACAATCGACATGGGCGCTCCCGTTCCTGGCGTCGACAATAATAATCGTCATATACAGGCACTTGAATGCTTGAGGAGAAATTCAAACCAAACTACAGTGGCGTACGTCGCTTGGCAGCATGTCGTAGAATACTTTGGCGTAAGTTCTTTATAATTTGTTTTTCTTTGTTTATAATTGTTTAGGAGTCAAAGTGAAAGTCAAATAATTCAATAAATCTTTTTTAAGATACTGCTCGTTCACTACGCTGACCTCCCTGAGAAGAACGAGCAAGAAACTCTAGGGATTGCTCTTTTCAAATAAACTTCAACGCTATGAAATACACTTTGAATCATAATTGTGTGGAATCTAGACTCTTGTTGTCTTTCCATACTTCTTTAAATAAAACATACCATTCAACTTCGTAATATGAGTTTTCAATTTAAATACTTTTAATGTAAGTTTTAAACTTTATCATTATCATCGTCGTATACAGCCTTACTTCACCCACTGTTGGGTATAGGTCTCCAAGTTTTTAAAAATAAACTTAGGAAACGATAATCTTAATATATTGGTTCTCCGGAATCTTATTGTAAAAACGTATACAGCTCCCCATAAACGAAATCGTGGTACCATAAGTTTGGACTTAGTTCTAAGGTTAATATTATGGACATCTTCTTTCTTAATGAAATTATATATGTTGTTACGGGCATACAAAATATTTGAGTAAATGTACTGCGATACCACAGTCATGATACCAGGCTCCTTAAACTTTTCTCTGAGAGAAACCCGAGAACCTAAACGGTACACAGAACGAATCGCTCGTTTTTGCAACTGAAATATGATTTGTATATCTGCCGCTTTACCCCATATGAGAATATAATTCTAGGACGGGATATAATTGTTTAACTAATGTCCCTTGTGCTAATGTCCCTTGTGTGCTCGAGCCTCCGGACTTGAGCCGCATCGACGTAAATATGCGATATTATTATCCTTTGAAATGCGGCGTGGGCGACGCGAGCTCAGTCGACAGTCGTCAGAGCGGCCAAGAACCGCAAAAGGCTCAAATAGGCCAACCTTGCCCAGTGCTAGCTTTGTGCCTTTTGCGGTGTCGCTGGGGGCCACAGGCGAAACTTCTATCAAGCGAGAAGTCGGATCGCCTCGTAGAGGCCCCCGGTGACCACAATTATTTCAGCCAAAGAACAAGTTTAGCTATTCAAAGGGGAAATGTTGCCAGTCTTCTAGCCACAAGGTGTACCTCCCGTTGAAATTTTCTACTTATAAACTTTCAAATACATACATATGCTATATATTTATATTATTTCTCGAAATTGTCACACATAGACTTTGAAATTTTGATGTCTAAAGACGAAATACGAAACGTCGATTTGTTTGAAAAAACAAATATACGCGATTTAAATCCGGAAAAATAGTTTCATTTCCTATGTGTAACAATCGCGAAAACCTAAGAACTCGATATTTATCAAGTGAAAATAGTTTATTTGGTATGAAAACAGATAGATTATGAAAATAGGTAATAGATTACTTCGTTCATTGAAACTGAAATAATAATTACTGATAAAAAAGCAGAGGATCCAGCCTCTAGAACGAAATAGTCGTTGACATGAAGTAACAGACACACAAGAGAACACGAAGCCATCATCTATTAGTCCGTCAGCCGATAATGCCCTACATAAAAAACCAGCATAAGAAATAAAGAAAGGTTACTATGCCGCACAGAGGTCCTAGGTGCAATTCCCGGGCCGGGAGAAATATTTGTATGACCTACATTTATATCTCTCGTGAGTTTGGGTGTAATTCATGCTTGTCTATGTGTGTGTCCCCATGGCGAGATACTTCGCGTGGTGACACCATCTGTAGAAGTCACAACAATTACTTACATTACATAGTTTCTTCTCTACCAAGGGATGACGAGTTTCTCCAAAAGTTGGGTTTTCACTTGTATAAACAAATTTTATCTTCCCGCAGACCCGCAACCCAGATCAAATCGCAAACTTCGCCGTCCTCTGTCCCGGTGGTAGCGTGGAGCCATTACCCGCTAATATACTGGGTTCGAGTTCCACTGCGCCTTGTTCCTTTGTCAGACAGCCGTGGAAGTCAATTGTTGCTAACTCGTAAGTATAATGGCGTGATTACGTTACGGACGGCCGAGGCGTGTCAGGCCGTTCATAGGAAACGAGACTAAGGTTCGTATTCTAGAACTCTACTCAATGCTCAAGTCAGGATTGCACTGGAAACACAAGCACTGGAAATACGACCCTAATGGCAGAGACTTGAGTATGATTTTCAATGCTCACTGCAGTACTCAAGTCCTGACTTGAGTATTGAGTAGAATTCTGGAATACGACCCTAAATCTCAATATAATTCAGTGCCTCCAGTGAAAAAGGGAATAACTCAAAATAGACATTTTTCAGGAGAGGCAAAAAGCCATACTTTTATTGATTATTGGTTGTTCACATATATTATTAATACATTTTATGATTTCTAGCTTTAGGTATACATCTAAGCTTTCGTTTAACTGGTATTGGTTAAACATTCAGTCTATCTCATATTTTATATATATATATATATATATATATATATATATATATTTTTTTTTTTTTTTTTCGAGTTGCGTTCTTGACATAATTTGACTCATTCCCTTAATTGTGACTGTTCTATGGCTATAACAATACTTATGATACTAACCACATTGATAAAAGACATAAAATCGTTACAGGAATAAAACGACAAGTTTTCTGTTAACCAATAGCAACACGGTATAGTCGCAAGTATGACCAATCGTGTCCAGTGGAACAAACGGAAAGCTCAGTTATACCTTTATGTACACTGTGGAATAAGGCAATAGTCGCTTTTAGTCCTACTATACTTCTCCGTCATTTTGGAACAATACGAAAAGTATCTTTGTGTAAAAATATAGCTGTAGTTATTCGTTAAACTTCCATGTATTTTTTTTGTACTGTTAGACTAATAAAAACGTCCGATAATTAAAATTATGCCTGAAACAGTGAGTTATGCCCTTATTGCAATAAAGAAAACTACGTTAGGAGACTACTAGAGAGATGTCCTTTAGACATGTTATGTAATCGGACACGCTGAAGCCATTAGTGCAATAAAAACAAAAGGGAATAACTCGTCTTATTACGTTTTTCACTGGAGGCACTGAATTTGCCAGACATATATTATCTGCAACAAACACATGGCAAAATACGGAAGGTCGGTTGGTTCGTTCCGTTGCTTAGTTAACGAGAGAAGAGATGTTGGTTCGAATCTTTGTATATTAATTATAACAAACTAGTGGAGTAATTTCATAAAAAATAATTGAATAGCATAGTGATGAAATATCCTGACGTTTATAAACTTAATTACAATTATTAAAGTAACATCTCTAGTCAGCGGTTGGTAGCTGTAAAGGTGCATCCCTAAGAGACGAAAAACTTTCATAGATTTCTCACAAATGGCGCTAAGGCTAAAAGTCGTCAAAAAGCAAAACAAAGATCCGTTAGTTCTGTTGCTTAGTTGGCATGGCGTATGGCACGGTTTGTTAGGAGACGTTGGTTCGAATCCAATTCGGTCTTTGTTTAATAATTATAACAAAGTTTATAATTATTAAATTGTAGGTTTAAGGGTGTGATGTATATATATTTTTGTAATATTCTTAGTGTTTAAAATAAATAAATAAATAAATAATTATAACATAATAAAATTTGAGTAATTTCACAAAAATAGTACTTTATGCTTAGAATAACACATAGAATGATAGTTTCATATCAAACGAACTGTCACAAGTGAGGCAAAAATCAAATTCATGTAGGCTAGTTTTAGTAGTAGGTTAATTTTCGGTTTTCGTGAATATTTATATAAAAATAGTATCTATTTTATGTTTGTCTGACGTATTTTTACACTCATTTACCGCACATTTCGTCAGTTTTAGCTAAAATTCTTGATCTGTTCGCGGTGCAAGTTGACCTTGAGCACTGAAGGCCCGCCCGCTCGTGTAGGCCCTTTTGGCGCGCTTCAATTTGCCTCACTTAGCGTGTGCGGACTAGGTTTCTATGCGTTATTATTCTAAGAGTTTATGTAACTGTTACATAATGAAAGGCATTAAAACACCAGTGTGGGTTCGAAAACATCGCACGAGTGTTTTAATGCCTAGGTATGTACAGTTACATACACTGCTTTATCTATACACATATTATAAGCTCTCTAGGATGTGTTCAGGAACCGCATTTATGACTGGTGAAATGGTGACAAATAAAAACTTTTCTCACGCATGTCACGCAACCGTAGTTTTTTTTCAATTCATAGACAAACTAGAGTCGGCCCCAATTATCATATCGTTCAATATCAAGTAACGTGTGAAATTTGTAAAAATTCTTTGCTATTCACATTTCATTTCGAATAAAACTTCATCTCGACTGATATTGGAATAGAGGTCGAATCAAATTGTTTTGTTTTTCAGACATGTTCGTAATTTGAATGTACGAATTTGGTGTTATTACCAATAATAACATTTCCACAGATAAGAAATTTGTTCTAACAAAACAGTTTATCTTTATGCAGGTCGTAATTTGCGGTTTTTTAACACGTCATAGAGGGTTTATGTGTGTAGATAAAAAATGTAATATCATGATAGTAAAACATCTTAACATTCAATAAAACTTAATTACAATTATTTAAAGCGGCGTCTCTAGTCAGTGGCTGGTAGCTGTAAAGGTAGGCGCGGGCAATAAGGAATTTTAATTTTTACTAACAGAAGAATAAATACACATGTCGCACTGTTATTACAATAGTGTATTAACTCAAAAAGTGTATTTTCTCAGCATCGACGGAAAACGAATTATTCGCTTCCCGTGAAAGATCTGTGTAAATTTATGTACAAGTCCTACTTGACAAATATACATATTTAAAAATAAAAGATAAAAAATAGTTTCATATTTTTGAATAAGGACTATTTTGGCCAGAACTAGCTCACATACACCGTGTCTCATTTTGATTTAAGTAGTCAAGTAGATATCTTTTAGTTGTTTTTTAGAATATTCTAACGACGGTTTTATTCACGTGAAGAGAATCAAATTTTACGTTCCACAATGGTATAATCTTGAATTTCACATATTTTGAGTTATAACACTATTGTAATAGCAGTGCGATATATGAGTCTATTGGATACTTGTAAAAAATATATTATTATGTATAATTTCTATTAACAGTAATGCCGCTGCAAATCTCGTGACTAACATGCGTAATTGGTGGCCTCAAGGCAGTAACCCCGGCGGTTCAACTTGGCAAGCCACATTGTTCGACGGAATCATAGGAGGATCGAACGCCAGGGTATTCTTTGATGATGTCATGCCTTCTCCAACCAACTATACGGCTGAGCGTAAGTTTTTTTTTTTTCATTTAAAAAGACATACATGACAACATATAGACGGCGAAGCTTCAGAGATAGGCAAGCGCCCGAGTTTTTAAACCGACGTCGACGTTTGTTAACGTCAGGTTTAAATCGGGTAAAAATCCATTAATGCCGAAAATCGAGAGCAAAAACCATTTACAAGTATGTTTGTTGTGTTCAAATAGAATAGCATTATTTCAAAATTGCTTTCTAATCCTGACGATCCGTTTTGCTTTTCTATTGAATTGATTCGCTTGGAAATAAATTGATACAAAAAATTGTTAAAACCCGGTTTAAACTCAGGCGGGTTGATTCGGTTAAAACCCATTGTGGTCGCGATTATATTACTCCACGAAGTCTGAGAAGGTAGTGAAGTACATCAGATTATAAGCCAAATACACCCTGAGGGTCGCGCGGTTGTAGTCTCGCCACAACGTGAATTTTAATTCGTTGAGAATGCCGATCGATCATCTGTCGACCTCCATGAAGGAGTTTTGGCGGAAGGGTGATTCCGAAGCAGGTTCCCTGACACCAGATTACGCCACACCTCGCGTCGCCGACAAGTGTACTTCGTGTGGATTTCTTAGTTTTTAACCGACTTCAAAAAAGAAGGAGGTTCTCAATTCGACTGTATGTTCTTTTTTTTTGTATGTATGTTACGCGGTAACTCCGGTATTTGTGAACCGATTTTCATGATTCTTTTTGTGTTGGAAAGGGCGTACTTCCATAGTGGTCCCATTTAATTTTGAAGAAAATCATCCACCTCGAAGGGCTGTTCACGCATGAAGATTCATTTTTATAAATAGCGCCTAACTTTAATTTCGGAGCAATTACTTAAATGGTTGATTATGCTATTTCTCCAATTCAAGGCGTTTTTCTCTCAATATACTTTGAGTAGTGTCGTAGTGAGAACCTATTTTTATTATCTCCAGCATCAAGTCCTGTATAGTGGCGAGCTAGGGGATATTTCAATAAAACTTAGCAAATAGACGTAATTCCACGAACTGTTGTGGTCGGTTTTTTTAGTACTCTGTACTGAGATTATAATATTATTATATAAGTATTTTAGTCCTCAACAATGCGTTCAAAATGCTGTTGCGGCTACCACGCCACTGCAGCTCGTCAGGAAAGTTCGCGGAGGCGCGCACTGATGGATATCCCGCTATAATGCGAAAGAAGGCCGCTTCTTTTCTTCACCGTGTGCGTGGTAGCCGGAACAGTATACTGATAACACTCGTTAACCGGTTCGGCACTGCCACTACGCCCGTCACCCTAAGACATAAGTTGACAAGTCCCATGTGCCTGTAATTTCACCAGGACCCTTACCCTTCAAAACCGGAACACAGTAATGCTGACATTACTGCTTGGCACGAGAAATAGGTAAGGTGGCATTACTTCCCTAGACGAACTCTCACAAGGAGCTCTACTGCTACTAAAGTTGGTTGGTTTGGGGGGTTGACTGGGTTTTAACCCATCGTCCATCTCTGTGTATGGGTCATAGTTAACTGATTGAAGTAAATAAATAAATAAATAAAACAATACAACATATGTAAATAACACCAAACTATGGAAACAACCTATGGAAACAAAATGGTGGTACAAAAATATGGGAATTCAAAAAGTCAATACGCACTGCTATTACTCATAAATAATCTCAGTACAGAGTACTAAAAAAACCGACCTCAAAAGTACGTGGAATTACGTCTATTTGCTAAGTTTCATTGAAATATCCCCTAGTTTGCCACTTATACAGGACCTGATACTGGAGATAATAAAAATAGGTTCTCACTACGACACTACTCAAAGTATTTCGAGAGAAAAACGCCTTGAATTGGAGAAATAGCAAAATCAACTAAATAATTGCTCCTAAATTAAAGTTAGGCGCTACTTATAAAAATGAATCTTCATGCGTGAACAGCCACCCTTCGAGGTGGATGATTTCCTTCAAAATGAAATGGGACCACTATGGAAGTACCTCCTTTCCAACAAAAAACGAATCATGAAAATCGGTTCACAAATACCGGAGTTATCGCGTAACATACACACAAAAAAAGAACATACAGTCAAATTGAGAACCTCCTCCTTTTTTGAAGTCGGTTAAAAATATGTGAAATTCAAGATTATAACATTGTTGAAGGCAAAATTTGATTCTCTTCACGTCAATAAAACCGTCGTTAGAATATTGTAAAAAACAACTAAAAGATATGTACGGACAACGGTACAACAGACTACACACTTTTGTTCGAAAATCACCTCCAGTGCAACTGAACAAGATACGTAAATGTGTAGCTTGATGTGCTGGCGTGTGTACCTAACTACTTAAATCAAAATGAGGCACGCTTTATGTGCGCTAGTTCTGGCCAAAATAGACCTTATTCAAAAATATGAAATTATTTTTTCTCTTGTATTTTTAAATATGTATATTTGGCAAGTATTAAATAACCTATACATAAATTTACACAGATCTTTCACGGGAAGCTAGTAATTAGTTTTTGAGTTATTACACTGTTGTATTAACAATGCGATTTGATCAAAACGCGATATCAATAGCAGTTTGTTGTAGCTGTAAAGGTACCGGAGTTGAAAGCCGAAAAAACCCAGTACAAAAATCTATAACAGACACATAGAAAAATTTTGTTATCGTGCTACCTCGCCCTGTAGCTCGTTAGCAGAACAATGCCACGGTACGACGCGGACACAGATTCAAGTCCTGTTGGGTCTCTCTTATCTTTGTATTAATAATTATAATATAATCTTGCGCCAAACTGTGAAAGTAAAGTTATAAAGCTCCAATTTATAATTCCCCTTCATTTGCGTCGGGGGTTGAACATACGATTTTGTAAACCTGTTTTTTTTAGTGCGCGTGATGCCAACTATCGACTCAACCGCCACTTGTATCCCATCACGCCGCTGGTGTGTGACATCTCAAGAAGAATTTCACAAGTGTTCCTGGGTACAAGCTGCAGCACATTCGCTAGGAATCCAGCCGCCGATATCTTGCGTATCGCGGTCCAGTGTGCTCCACTGCTTAAAAGACATTGCGGACAATCTGGCCGACTTTATGGCTATTCAAGCTAATTACGGATATATAGCAAGACAGTGAGTATTTTCAAAGCTAATGTTACGGACGGCCGTACGCGTCTGGCCGGTCAGAGCAAATGTGAGTGGAATTACCATTGACTTACAAATAAATGGACGACGGGTCTAATACAAAAACCACGAAAAAAATGTCCCATGTCAACCTATTTAAACGTAGTGACATGTAAAGGAATATGAAAAAGCTAAAACGTTGAATTTAAATTGTAATGTCATCGCAGTACTGTCTAATTTTGCTTGGTTCGCTGTCAGTCGAACAAACGAAGACTAAAGCGTGAATGACGCTCTGTATACGATTTTAACGCCCTATAAGTTCGGACACTTTTTAGCGCGGACCCGACGTCCATATAACTGTAAGCCAATGGGAATTACGTAAATAATTCAGGAGCTCTGATTGGCCGGGCAGCGTCTGTGGCGCATAGATAGGGCCGGTACGGTGTGGGAGACGCCGTATTGGCATATATGTAGGAGAATCTTGTAAGATTCGTTGATTCACTTTCATTCTTATTCGATATTCCGATCCAAGTTGTTTGTTCGATTTTTCAACTTGTAAGTCAGATGGACTTAAAGATAAAGTGTTCAAATAAGTTTTTATCGAAACGTACACAGCCAACTTTCACAAATTTCGATAAACCGGAGGATTACGAAGTTATATCAGAGTTTCATTGAAGAAGAAACCAACAAGTATGGTTTCGTTTGAGACGGATTTAGTCGATATTCAACATCTGTAATGAAGGCATACCTAAAGCGAAACAGGACACCTCTCATTTGTAGTAAACAACATACACACTCATTTGATGTAGATCCAAAAGATTTGCAACAAGTTTCCGTCTCTGCTCTGTAATCTCATCGATAACATACATAACAACGAGTACTACAATATCAATTACATATAAATGTAGGTGACAGTACATAAGTAGGAGCACGAGGACATATTTATCCTTTTAGTCCTACTAGTAGGAGCGTAAGGACATATTAGTCCTGGTGCTCCTACCAGTAGGAGCATGAGGTGACGGCCGTATTTTTGGTATAGTTAAAGTTCTTCTTCTTCTAATATAATAATCTTTCTTCTTCAGACATTACAACCTTTCCTCCGTGAAACTGGTTCAGAATTCATTTAACAACGAAAACAGCACTTCTCGGGTAGCCGCCTTCATCAAAAACTCTCAAGCCAACGAAATAACGCGGTTCGAGAATTTGAGAAACAAGAGGGCATGCTTCCCCGAATATGGAGGACTTGGTAAGTAATGTACAATTATCTTTTAATTTTTACAGACATTTTGAATTGCGTTCGATATTTTTTTAACTGACTTAAAAAAGGAGGAGGTCCTCAATTTAACTGTATTTTTTGAGTGTATGTTACTCGATTACTCCAACATTATTTACGTAGTTAAGCAAAAGGGACGCAATCCACAAAATTATCAAAATATTACTTATTTAATTATTTATTTATTTGCATTGACTTACAAATAAATGGACGACGGGTCTAATACAAAAACCACGAAAAAAATGTCCCAAGTCAACCTATTTAAACGTAGTGACATGTAAAGGAACATGAAAAAGCTAAAACGTTGAATTTAAATTGTAATGTCATCGCAGTACTGTCTAATTTTGCTTGCTTCGCTGTCAGTCGAACAAACGAAGACTAAAGCGTGAATGACGCTCTGTATACGATTTTAACGCCCTATAACTTCGGACACTTTTTAGCGCGGACCCGACGTCCATATAATTGTAAGTCAATGTTTATTTGTGTAATTTTTTGTAGTTATACATGGTGTAATTATTTTAACACATGTCAACTATCACATACGCGTTGTATATGTATTGGATGCGTTCAAATTAACCGCTGTTAGAAGCGCTGCAGCCGCTGCGACTGTCGCGCTGCTGAAGTGCGGCCAAATTTTCCCATGTCTTTTTTTTTCCAGTTGATTGGAATAACTGGCGGAGCTGCTTTCTCATATTGCAGGATGTTGTTTTACATTCTCTATTCTTCAATTAAATTTTTATCCATCATGGTTAATTTGATAAATTGAGCGTGATTGCAGCGCGTGTAACAGCGGCTAGTTTGAACGCGCCCTTATACTTTCACATACACGTTATGTATGTATGTATTGTTTGCACTCGAGTCCGAGCTTCACTCATATCGGGCTTGCCGAAAACCTGCGTTATAGATAAGATATCCTGCCCGTAGCTAAACGCTGAGCAAGTCCCGTTTGCGTGCGCCACAACACTCATTGATGTTTCTGAGATTATCTATCTATTTATTATCTATTTGTTGTAATATTGTAGTTTTCAAGCTCATTCATGTGTGTCTTGGCGCATGCAATAAAGGATTCTTATTCTTATAGAAACATTATTAAACTTTAAACTGCCAAATCGAATTGGCAATTCGTTTTTATGCCGAACCATCAAATTGTGGAACCAACTCCCGGCGCATGTATTCCCTCCCCTCTATAACATCGGGTCCTTCAAACGTAGTGTGAAGAAGCATTTGGCTAGACCGGCAAAATGATAGTGACGGAGTGAAGATTTTTGTGTTTTCCATCCGTTACTCTCATCTCTGGACTGTATTCGCACTTTCCATCAGGCGCGGTGCAGTCATTTTGCCGAGTCACAATAAAAAATAAAAAAAAAACTCGAAAATTACTGGATTGGATCCGTTTTGTTTAACTACGTTCATTTGTTTTTTTTTTTTGTAGGAAATGAGGAAATAGTGGTCCTATTCAAATTTTGAAGAGAATATTCCACCTCAAAGAGATTTCTTTGTGTAATAATGCCACTAGTTTTGTTATGATTATTAATACAAAGATCGAACAAATAGAACAATTTTCTTCGACTTGAACTGACGACCATGCTGCACCGTGGCATTGCTCTTACCGACAGAGCCACAGGTCAAGTTACCGAGTTCTCGAAATTCTCCGTGCCTTTTGTTACAGAATTTTGTACTGACTTTCGGTATTCCTCGTCGCTAGTGACACCTAGTGAGAAATTTTTGAAAACTTCTCACCGCAGCCCATTGACTTACAATTATATGGACGTCGGGTCCGCGCTAAAAAGTGTCCGAAGTTATAGGGCGTTAAAATTGTATACAGAGCGTCATTCACGCTTTAGTCTTCGTTTGTTCGACTGACAGCGAAGCAAGCAAAATTAGACTGCGATGACATAACAATTTAAATTCAACGTTTTAGCTTTTTCATATTCCTTTACATGTCACTACGTTTAAATAGGTTGACTTGGGACATTTTTTTCGTGGTTTTTGTATTAGACCCGTGGTCCATTTATTTGTAAGTCAATGCCGCAGCCTTTTAGTAGTATACCAAACGTACAAAATCTATCGACATGCAACTGAGATCATGTAATATTAGCAGATTTGGGGTCAATAATATTAGCAAAATTGAGGCCAGGGTTGACAATGATGATTACTGACAATTGATCTTTGTATTACACAGCCTACGTAGCCTTCGTTAGAACAGCTCAAGAGCGCGGTGTAATCAGCCCGAACGAATGCGACTACGCTAAAGCAGTAGGCGAATTCTTCGAATCTGCCTGCGCACCTGGAGCCATTGACGCCGCTCACGTTATTTCAGCAACTGTAAGTATTACTATAAAAACTCGTTTATTTATTACATCGATCAATTTAAATGGACACGATGATGAGGAATTTCAAGTTCAGTAGCAGTGGTGCCTTAAAATTCGACGCTCAATCCGGAATTTTTCGTCTTGTCCAGTGTCCAGTGGTTAGACTTTACTATCCCGGATTCCAAACACTTAGAAATTGTTTCTACAAACTTACTAGAGTCCTTTTCATAAAAGAGGACGCCCAGACGCAGCTCTAAAAGATGGTAGAAAACAATGTTACGGCCATGTTATGACAGTCAAATTAGACGGATTGTAATCGAGGCCTAATGTAAATACTTAAATATTTTCATATTTATTGCTACGGCCCGTCTGCCTTCATACGGGTGAAAGCCAATGTTACCCTTTTTTCTTTTTTTTGACGGGGGGAATCTTTATGGATACCCCTGAGCCCAAGGAGACTCAGGGGTTATGTGGGGACTCTCCCTCCAGACTGGAGGGCCTGCCCCACTAAAACCCCCCCGGGTTTCCCTCTCGCCGGTTGAGTCGGCGCCGTGGGATCAGTGAGCATTCACCACGTCGCCGCCCGGCCGCCGTAGCTTACGCCAGGGCTCCCGCGCCAACGGAGGGGCGAGTCGGTTGTCCTCCGACCCGCCCCCCAGACGAGTGAGGCCATGCAATGCAGGCTCCAGAGTCCCTGTCCAGAGCCCGCTGGTCTCACTAGGGGATCAGGCGAGCAGCGAACTGCCTCCGCGGCCTCCTTTTGCGACATAACCTCTGTGCAAAAGGAGGCCACCGACTCCCAGGACTCCTCGCTATCGAGCATAGCGGCAACCACGCTCGGCAGCGAGAGGTCCTGCCCTACAGTCCCCGTCAGAGTGCGGCGCTGCTCATCCCACCGGCTACACACCTCTAGGGTGTGCTGCGCGGTGTCATCCGCAGCGCCGCACTCGTGGCACGACGGGGACGGTTCCCTCCTCGCCACCTTGTGCTGGTAGTGACCGAAGCAGCCGTGCCCGGTCAGCACCTGCACAAGGTGGTACGACAGTGGCCCGTGGGACCGGTTTACCCACTCTACGAGGACAGGGCGTGTCGTCTCTATTGTACGAGCGCCATAGGGGGGATCCGCCAAGCCCTCTTTCCACCGGTCCCGCATGCAAGCCAATGGTTACCCTGAGGGTCGAGCAGTTGAAGTCCCGCCAAAATATAAATTTTAATTAATTTGTGGTGAGAGTACCAACTTAACATCTGTCGACCTTCATGAAGGGGGACTTATGGCCGAAGGGTGACGTTTCTAAGGACGGTTACCGGACACCCAAGTTGCGTCACACGTCGCAGTCCATACGTCTTAATAAATAAATAGTGTTTTATATTATATGTTTTATATATTATTATGTATGTCAGTGTATGTATGTATGTGTGCAATTATGAGTGATCGTAACCTGATTACAAATAAATAAATAAAATAAAAATAAATAATGCTCACATTCCTGCTTGGCGGCAGGAATATTTAAGGACCTCTGCTGCTACTGTATAACAACCGCGAGAACCTCAAGAACTTGATACTTACTTCGCTGGCTCCGCGACCCGTAGTGGATCTTAACTTCCAACACCAAAGTACGCCATTTCTGTCGGTCTTGTGCCAATTCAAGGTCAAGGTCTTTGGCGATTTCATCCTTCCAGCGAAATCTTGAACCGCCCCAGGGGACGACGACCAGCAGGTTGCCCCAAATACGCTCTTTTGGCAGCTCGATCCTCTCCCATTCTTTCCACGTGTTCGGCTCACACACTAGTTCTTATATCTCTCTATTGAATCTGGCCCTCCAATTCCCAAATTCTCCTTTGATTGGTCCCAGAATCTTTCGAAGTATCTTCCGTTCTGCCACGAATAATTTATGTTCTTCATTCAGCGTTAATGTTCATGTTTTACACTCATACATTAAGATTGACCGAATTACTAGTTTTGGTGACACGAACCTTTGTAGTCCCGCTTAGTAACTTGGACACCAACACTTCTGCTGTACATCGTAGCGAATACTGATTTTACAACTATGCGAATACTGATTTTGTCCTCCCTTTGGTTTGTGTCGGTCATAGTGCATCCCAAGTACTTACTTAAATTTGTCGACGCCCATATAAGTTGCATCAGAACTTGATAAAACAATTATTTACTCAAATGCGATCGATTTTTTCCAGAACTACAACGCTACCAACCTATGTACCGTTTGCAGACCAACCCAATGGCATACCCCAACCAACACTTCGCAAGGTAAGTTGTTCGTTTAGACATGTGAATTTTTTATGACAATAGCTCTTCATTTATATATTTTTTGTGTAGTAATCGACTAATTTGTTGTTATAATCGATACAAAGAACGAGCAAACTTAACACGTGGTATCGCTCTCCCAGCTGAGCTAAAATGAGCAACAGAGGTGAGGCAAGAATGGCCGTTAAAATCAAAAACAAAAATCTTAATATATATCTATTAAATACAAGGCTGCTAACAGATTGGCTGCACGTAGACAGTTAATGCGTCAAAGTTAAATGATCTTCCATAGGTAAAATTTTTACACCTGAAAACGTAATGTTTTTAAGCTACTTTTTAAACTACTGCTCGCTCACTACGCTGACCTCGCTTAAATGCACTTTGAATCATAATTGTGTGGAATCTAGACTCATGTTGTCTTTCCATACATCTTTATCTATAAAATACTATTCACTTTCGTAATATGACTTTTCAATTAAAATACTTTTAATGTAACTTTTAAACTTAGGAAATGACAATCTCAATATATGTATACTCCGGAATCTTATTGGAAAAACGTATACAGTTCCCCATAAAAGAATCGTTTACCTTGGTTAAACGAAATCGTGGTAACATGAGTTTGGACTTATTTCTAAAGTTAATATTATGGATATCGTTTTTACTTAATGAAATTATGTATATTTTTACTAATAGTATATTTTTACTAGTAGTATATTTTTACTCTGACCAGCCAAACACGTTTAGGCCATCCGTAAAAGGTATTCTACTGACTGCCATTCTTTTTTTTTCAGTTTTCTGCGCATGGGACCACCGTAACCAGTTCTTCGGCAACAATGGTTCCTTAGCCTGTCTGGCTGACCCCAACACACATGTCGCTTTCCTGCAGATCGGCAACATTGAATGTAAGTAAATAAAACTTAAATTAAAAATCATCTTCTGGCTCAGTCTTAAGTCAACAACTTAGTCTGTATATTTAGTAGTAAGGAGAAGTTTATTTAAGTATATTTATGTGGCGAACAGGAGGACTTCAATTATGACCACAATTTGTAATTATTTGATACGTCTTTTACATAAAAAACAAGAAACAAAGAATTAGAACACGCCTTTTCCAATTAGCTTAGGACACGTTCCTCTCTCATCTTCTCGTTCCAATCACACATCTTCATTCATTCTTCATTCAAACATTCACTCAAACCATCTCACTCATTAGCCTGTTCGGATAGTACTTATGCATATCATCTTACTTCCGATCACATTCGGACATCCATTCTTACCAATCCCACGTTTATATATGTATATAAATGTATATGTCGGTATATAGGGTGTAAATATGAGACGGAGCAGCAAGGCCGGCTACCTTAATCGTTGTAGTTACAGGAAAACGGTTCTAGAAGACTATCCTTGAATTTTGAAGATGTTTTGATTGGCATTCACAGATTTTCAAAAAATGGTACAGTCAGCAAGATAAAAGGCAATTTATACAAAACTTTTTTTTATACCATTCGATCCATTTTGTGGTAAGGATCAATGGTCTCTATGGTACCAACTGAGGTAAGAGTACTCGAAATGTCATCAATCGAGAAATCGCAAAAAACTTTTTACCATGCATTGTGTAGGGACACATTTTGTAATTAGTTATTCTAGGTAGTTAAGGAAAGTAATAAATTTGCCTACAAATTAGAATTAAGTAAAACCAAATTATAATAATAACATTATTTTTTAAATTTCGATCAGCTTTGTTTTGTTTTGTTAATAGAGAATTGTCACTTTTAATACGATTTTTAATCAAAATGTTCTCAAGTGTGGAAACAAATGAATTGGAGTAAAATTTCATGCTACTTGCTCTTTGCGGAAGAGAGCGAATCGATGCATCCGCCAAGGCGGCAATTAATTAGAGCACTTACTATCACAGATTTTTTATGTTATTTTGCTTTACGTTATTGTTTTTATTTTGAAATACATAACACGTAGTCAATTTGTTACTTTCCTTAACTATCTAGAATAACTGATGACTAGATATGTCCCTGCAAAATGTATGGTAAAAAGGTTTTTGCGATTTCTGACATTTCGAGTACTCTTACCTGAGTTGGTCCCATAGAAACTATTGATCCTTACCAGAGACCGGATCGAATGGCATAAAAAATGTTTTGTATAAATTGCCTTTTATCTTGCTGACTGTACCATTTCTTCAAAATCTGTGAATCTCAATCAATATATCTTTAAAATTCATGGATAGTCGTTTAGAACCGTTTTCCTGTAACTACAACGATTAAGGTAGCCGGCCTTGCTGCCCCGTCTCAAATGTACACCCTGTATAATACGTATATGGTCATTTATTATTTGATAATGTACCTAAGTTTTTAATAACGCATTACAATTTTTATCAGTGGCACACTATGTCTCCCTCACTGTTCAATTCTCCTCTGCCTCATAGGTTGTGTGGAAGAGATCGCTTTCAGCGGTAAGACTGCCTTTGCCCACAGTAACTCTAAGTTGTCCATGTACCGTTTTTGTTTTTTGTGTGTGAATAATAAAAAGTTATTATCTATCTATCTAAAAAACTCCCCCGATTAAAGCAGGCAGTGCAAAAGTATATATGAAACTTAGTACCTAATAGCTTCAGTGCAGCTGTAGTGCTACAATCACTCAACACGCGCGCCCCTTTTGCTAGATATCTGACGCCGTTAGTTGAAAGAGCGCAAGTGACATTTTTTCGAAAAAATTGTTATGTCCACTGCCATTATCAATAAAATGGTCAATCTGTCACTATTTTCATTTCTTTCTGGATGGATAAGGCATGAATTACCGCAAGAGAAAAGTAGATATTTTTTTATTTCATTTCTTTAAAACTATATATAGATATAGTATAAAAAATAGGAGTGCTGCCGCCCGCTAACCAAAACGCCGCTATGTGATATAATCATTTTTTTAGATACCTTAATAAAACCGTAAACCAGTTTTAGAATATTGCTTTACTTTAGCTATGCATAAGTTCCCAAATATCGCACTGCTATTCCAATAGTGTTGTAACTCAAAATACGTGAAATTCAAGATTATACCATTTCTGAACATAAAATTTGTTACTCTACATGTCAATAAAATTTTCATTAGAATACTGTAAGAAACCATGAAAATATATCTACTTAACCCAGAATAAACGTTTTGTGAGCTAATTCTGTAAAACAGTCGTTACTCAAAAATATGAAATTATTTTTTGCTTTTATTTTCGAATATACTTCTAATTAACAAATAGGAGTTGTTTAGATGTCTAATAAATTTAATCCATAAATTACAATAATCTTTCACGGGAACTGATTAATTAGTTATTCGGCTGTTCTGAATAAATTCACTTTTTGAGTTAGTACACTGTATTAGCAGTGCGATATGTCGGACACGTTAATTAACTTTAACTATTTTTAAATAGAGAATTTTGAGCTCTATTTTATGCTGTGTTTAGATATTTGACCTCTTGTCACATAGCCGCGTTTTACTTAGTAGACGGTAGAACGGCGTGGTTGCAGCGCTTCTACAGCGTCTAATGAGAAGGTAACCAACCAACCCCGTTGATACGGAATCATTTCTCTTCAACAGCAAACCTCGCCCAATTGAGTCTGCAAGCCAACCAGTTCCGCGCCCTGTGCCGCAACAACTCTCTGGCTGCCAATCCAGGAGTGAACATCGACTCTAATTGCTTGCTGGCCCATGTTGTTGATATGGAAGTCCTTACTAGACGGTAACTTAACTAATTATGGTAGCCGAGCTGTAGTCGTTAGCCGGATGCAACTCGAAAAGTGGGCCAACGTCTTCTCTCCTTGGGTGCCCGAGGATGGAAAGATATGGCGGGGACGGCCGAGAAGGTTTAAGAGGTAGTGGTGCGAGATCGGCAAAGACAGGGAGCAATAGAGGATTTTGGGGGAGACCTTGACCCAGCAGTGGAACATAATAGGTTAATTTAAGAAAAAACAGTAGACTGTGAAAGAGTTCGTCCAGGGAAGGACTGCCTACCAAGCAGTAACGTAAACATTACTGCGTTCCAATTTTGAAGGGAATGGATGATGTTGGAATTACAGGCACATGGGACTTGTCAACTTAGGTTTTAGAGTGACGGACGCTTAGTGAGACTGCAACTGTTATACACAGGTGTGTCGCTTACCACCAGGCGTACAACTTGTTCTTCCCGCCGCTTGGTATCGTAAAAAAATTGTTTTAATTATTTTTTTTGGCTACAGAAACGACCCACTAAGCAATGCTCTCAGCGTTCTTCTCGACAATCTTGAGGACCATTTCGGTTATGCGGTAAATGCGCCACTTATAGACCTGGAGATCTTCTCGCCATTCGATGGAGTTAGCAATTTGCTGTTTAAGGACAGCGTTATGGGTGAGTGTTCTTGTTAGATTAACCTCTCGAGAACCGGATGGAGTCAAGTGGCAGAGGTCTGTGACAACCCTGTACACTGGCTGATCTGGGGTAAAAACCTGAACTTATAAGGTTACACGAACCTTGCGTGCACAAGTTCTAGTGCCCTTCTCGTATACCTTAAGGGCCGGTAGAGAGGGTCACTATTATCAAAAGTTTTTTAGAAAGATATGGCGCTGTTCTCTTAGTTAAATGAGAAAGTTAAAGCATCGACTTAGGCCATACTGCCAGATTTTAAATTAAAATTTTTCTTCAATCCGACTCGAAGGACCAATGTACGAGCTGCTTGTGCAGTAATCTGTCAGAATTTGTCATGTGATATGTTGCAGGGAGATGTCAATAATGCTGTAGACATAATACTCGACCACGGAGTCACTAAATTGTACAGAAATATTATTATTTATAAATTTTCCACGTGCCCAAAGTAGGGAGTGACGTTACTCATTGTCCATTGCACAATAATGTACGTTGATCCGTACACATTTAAATTGACTGCTTTAGTCCCTTCCCTGGCTATGACGAAAATGTTTTTTATTTTGTATTTAATCTGTATTTGAGTTAGAGCGGGTTAGTTTTCTCTATCCACTACTATAATATCGTCTGCTTAAAGGTAAAACCACATAAGTGACATTTTCCACAAAAAAATTCTAAATTATGTACCTGTTGTAAGAAAATCACCATCTTTCTGCAGATAAGACTCTTATTAAGTTTATAGCATTTTGTTATTGAGTTTCGCATGCAAAAAGATAGTGATTTTCTTACCATAGCTATATAAATTAAAGGCTTTTTGTTTAAAATGTCACTTATGTGGTTTTACCTTTAAACAGATGATATTATCATGAAGTATTACTTAACATTCCTGGTAGTATTCTGAAATATTATTTAATATTTCACGATAACATATTTGAATACTTAAATAATAAATATTGCCACCGAAATTAGGTGCAGAATTAGTGAATCAAGTATACTATCTATGAAGCTGTTTAAAAAAAATGCGTCACGCCTAGAGATGGGCAAGCACCCTGGTTTTAATCGGGTTAAACCCCATTAACGCCCAAAATCGAGAGCAAGAACTATTTAAAGTTAAATATTTATTGGAAATCGAATTTGTTTAATATTTAATGATATTATTACAAAATCTTTATTGCTTTCTGATCTACACAATTCGATTTGAGTTTTTATTTAATTCATTCTCTTGAAAATAGCATTAATAAATCGATACAAAAAATCGTTTTAAAAAGTGATTTTATCTACACACATATCATAAGCCTCTATGATGAGTTGAAAACCCGCAAATTACGACCACCATAAAGATTGTTTTGTTAGAACAATTTTCTTATCTGTGAAAATGTTATTATTGCTTCATAGTAACATCGAATTCGACGTAGAGGGAGAATATAAAAAAATAATAGAGAAGCTTCTCGCGTATACTGAAAAGGGATACCAACAGAGTACCTATAAATTCTGGGTTGTCTACTTTTAAAATTTTACCCCGTTAAAGAAATTGAAATGAAACTGAAGCCGTGGTAGCGTAATAGTTTGACCCACTGCCTCTCAAGCAGAGGATCGTGGGTTCGTATCCAGACTCGCACCTCTGACTTTCTCGGAATTTGTGCCGGTGAAGGAAAACATCGTGATGAAACGTTGAAGAAGGTTCGAAGTCCTCGGAAAACGTGTGCATTCCCCAACCCTCATTGGGCCAGTGTGATGGACTGTCGCCTAAGCACTCTGTTTAAAATGACCCATAAATTGAAGAAAAGATAGTGGCAAAAGCACGGTATCCCTAAAATCGGCTTAAGCCTGTCTAATTTAATTTATACGTTATTTATTTGATCTCTCTTCCTCGCGTATCATAACCACTGCTGGTAGAAGCGAGATGGACATATTTGACAAACGTAAGATATTCTCCTTATTTTAGGAGGTTTATACGATGCAAACAAAAATCTTTCAATCAAGAAAAATACTTCAAATATCATCTAAAATACATGAAATCGTAATATTTCAGGCTTGTAAGAGTATTTCACTAGTAATTCGAACAAGAAAATTCATTGATGTAATTAAAATTAAAACTTACGTATGGGTTTTACTGCCTAAAATATAACAATGCATCATTATTATTAGCTGCAATAATTGTCAATTACTACAACGGTTAGTAACTTTGTAAAACACTTCTTAAAAGCACAAACACATAAAATTGATGCACATCAAACACTCGGAAAGATTTGCTGGACTCAACGAGCGTTGAGTCATACAACCAAAACCGCATACGTAGAAAAAGACAAAATATAATATTGTTTTCTCGTTTACTCTGATAAGTCTGTGCATAAATCTATCTCGCTTATACGGTTTTTATTATTTATGGAGCCTTCTATTCTAATATCAGTCGAGATGAAGTTTTATTCGAAATGAAATGTGAATAGCAAACAATTTTGACAAATTTCACACGTTACTTGATATCAAACGATAACATAGTTGGGGCCGACTCTAGTTTGTCTATGAATTAAATATAAACTACGGTTGTGTGACATGCGTGAGAAAAGATTTTATTTGCAGCCATTTCGACAGTCGTAACATGCGGTCCCTGAACACTTCATAGAAGAGCTTATAATATGTGTGTAGATACAGTGTATGTAAATGTACATAATTAAGCATTAAAACACTCGTCTGATGTTTTTATGAAATAAAGTAAAACATAAAATAAAAACTATTATTTTACATCGAAATTTGTAATAAGTATGGACGTTCTGCCCACGATTTTGGGCAGAAATGAGTTAAAACCCGATTAGTACCTGGGCGGGTTGATTGGGTTTTAACCCATTGCCTATCTCTGGTCACGCTAGTCAGAAAATTACAACCCAAAACTGTTCACTAGATAATTCACGATGTTATATGTCTTCCAGGTCTTGCCGAACCATCCTCAAACTCTCAAAACGAATTAGCTCGCAATTACTTCGAGCTGTTTAATCACCTGGACCGCTGCAATGGCTCTCCTGGAGCTGCACCTGGAATTGAGCGCAACTTCTTTATGATCATCACTCTGCTTGTCATGACTTTCATGGCTCGTATCGTGGTATAATTATTTAGACTTAGATGTGCAGGCTATGTTGAAAATTCATAGCAACGCCCTCTGTTAGCAGAATCAGGGATTAAGTAAGGCATTTTATTATAATTTTGTATCCCTTATTCTGCATGATTGTCAATCAACTATCAACTTTAAGTTTAAACACAGTAAAACTCAGTTTCACTGCCGTGTGAAATCGGGCTGTTAAACTACAGTCGCTACAGCCAACGTAAACGTTGCCGTAATACGTTTTATTTAACTCGTAGTGAGTTGCGTAGTTTGTGGATTTAATGATGGCACTTCATATGGCTAGTTGTATTTGCGTATTCGGTATATTTGGCAAACAATCACCATGTGTGGATAGCATGTGTAACAAACTATTTGTCTTGGCTGTCTGTTCGACAAATACAGCAAACACCAAACACGAATTACCGCGCGCTGTCTCGATTTAACCAAATACGCAAGCAAACCGTCCATATTACAGAACAATAAATACAGTGGAAGTGGTTAGTTAACGTCAGATGCGTGACATTAGGTCTCCTTAGATCTACTTGAGGTCAGTCCACCATTTTCACTTGGTATGGTATGGTTGTGTCATTCTTTCGTGCTAATTCTCTAAAATCGCAGAAAAATGTCCTATTGTGCTGTTTTGGAGTTGCTAAAAATGCTAGCTGCACGAAAAATATTACTCGCAGTAGTATTTCATATCATCGGTAAGGCTTATTTTAATAAATTTTCAATTTTCTATTTATCGAATTTTTTTGTTACAAGAAACGAAAGTAAAGCTTTCAATAACTCAAATTCATCGTCGTTCAGCAATTAACCGCTAGATGGCAGCACATTGATCGAAATTTCTATATAATATCAAAACGTAGTAACTTCCAATAATATGTATTGGTGATATTGAACTTTCAACGGTATGCAACAGGATAGAGTTTAAATTACATTAACAATCCAGAATTTGTTATTTCTTTTTAAATTTGATGCTACAACCAATCATTCATACAAACCATCATCAAGATTTCGTAGTGTTTCAAAATAAGAATTTTTATAGTACTCGAAGCTTAAGGCACTATGGTCATATAATTTTTACCTCCTTATTTGGCTTCATGTAAAGTACATTTGTCAATATTGGCGTGGTTGTTGTACGTCAATTATTTTTCTACGGCAACGGCACGTCAGACTACACATTTCTGTTCGAAAATAACCTCCAGTGCAACGGAACAAGATACGTTAATGTGTAGCTTGATGTGTTGGTGTGTGTGCAACCACGTTCAACAAACACCCAATAGCGAATACGAACCGCTGCCATATGAAGTGCCGCCTTTTCAACAAACTTTTCTGGTTCCTAAGCCGTTGACAAAAAAAACTTCGATACCATTAGACATCAAACTTCAGCCCGAAAAATCTGGACGGCCGTCCAGCAACGCAGAAGCAGCTTTTCTACGAGGAAGTTAATTAATTAGGTTTTAAAAGTTTTTATATTTAGTTATATAGTAGCTATTTCTCTATGCATTTTACAAGTTCATAAGTTTAATAGTAAACAGGAATTTATTATTTATAGTTAATCGTTTTTTAAACTATTGTTTTTGGTAAATTTGTACTTCTTACGAACTCAACTTCCCTATGCGGTTTTTAATAAAGAAATTTTAAATAATAATTATGTTGTTTTATTCTCCCGTATAGTCGTCTTAGAGTGAATATCTCGTGAAGGTAAAAATGTGGTGTAAAATGGTGGTAAACGCAATGTTTGTAGTTAGCATTTTAATTAATTAAATTATACCCATTTCAGATACTTTTACTTCAATAATATATTTGAAGATCTTCTTCAACAAAAATCAGTAAAAACGAACTATGTCAAAGCGCTTATGCAAGATTTTCAGTCTAAGACGACGCCATGGTCATAAATTTCTATCTTTCTGTTATGTATTTATTTTAGTAGCATTATACCTGCTTGTGGAAAAGTTGGTCCAGGGAAATACTACCACTATACTAATTCCGTCGCTAAGCAGTAATACAAGCATTACTGCGTTCCGGAATTGCCATTTCTTTTTTTTTTTTGATGTTCCGAATCGTCTTATCGTAGTATGATGTTTAAGCACATAATTTTTTTTAAAGTTATTTACATTCAGTGAATTGTAACTGTTAAAAAAATAAAATTAAGTAATAATAAAATCTATTAAAGTTACTTTGTTTTCATTTATTTTTCCGCATTTTCATGAAGAAAAATAAATAATGTAACCTCAGTACAGAGTACAAAAAAAAACGACCTCAAAAGTATGTGGAAGTACATATAATTACCAAGTTTTATTGAAATCGTTACCGGAAAGTGCGTAAACCTGGATTCATCCCCTAATTCGCCACTATACAGGACTTGACACAGGAGATGATAAAAATCGGTTCTCACTACTCAAAGCATAATGAGAGAAAAACGCCTTGAATTGGAGAATAGTAAAATCAACCATTAAAATAAAAACCATAAAAACTGATGACCTTCCGTGAATTATCAACGCCGTACTAAGGGTTTATTTTCTTTTTTAAAGATAACTTCGGATTTGTTTTTTCTCTTGTATGGCGACCCTTTTACATATAATCGTCAGAAGTGAATAATCATCCTGTACGGAGCGATGGTATAATTTTCTAAAATAAAAAAAACATACTTATATCTCCAAGTCAGTTTATTTATATATTTATAAAATACATAGCTAGTACAATTATCTATGTATATATGTGATAATAAGTTACAATAAATGTAGTTAATTTTTACTTTGAACCTTCTTTTACGTCATTACTCGTCCGAGAAATCAACTAGCGTAGTTTTTTGCAGATGATTACGGTCAGAACAAGACGAATGTAGCGAAAAACTAATGCTTCTAAATTGAGGATAGAGTTCCGCAATACTGCTTATTAATAATATTGGAAGAGCGCATACTGCATAAACCAGACTGTTATCAAAAAACCTGACTGTTATCAATAAAACTGATATCAAAAAACCTGACTGTTATCAAGGTGATCTTAATTGAAACAATCACAACAAGATTGACAAATTGCTTATTAAATGTCAAGGAAACTTATTAGAAGTAGAAGCAAAACAGAGTAGAAGATATCTCGCGCCAAATATAGGTTAATGCGTTATCCCATTCACAAAAACAAATTTCTTTCGGATATATCGACGTAATGACATAGAAAAAGATCATTGTATTTCAGCTAAAAAGAGCAGCTAAAATATGAACAAGCAAAATTACAAAAGTATGAATTGATTTTATGACTTCACTGCCTTGAGCATTGCTTCCTTGGAACGATGAATAAAGTAACTAACATTTCGTCGCATTACTTCCTTAAACTCGTATGTCAAAGCACAGAGTTACTGAAATGCAAAAAATGGATTGTATATACAAATTTTGCAGGCTAATTTCACATTACATTTCCTTCATATTCACACACTGGCTTTTGCCTGTTCTTAAAATGATGTACCCAAATTAACAACCTTGATAAGAAATTTAAAATAAATAGAGTTTTGCCACCTCCTGAATAACTACACTTTATAAGATACGAGTTTGAGAAAGTAATGCATCGATTTTGTAAAAATTTAGAAGATGAATAATTTTACGTCATTTTTGTAGATACGTTCAAGTTACTACAAAGGTAAGACGAACCTTTATGACAAGACAAGTAATGTAACTAAATACTAAGGGCGCGTTCCCATTATGTCGTGACGACAGATAGTCATGCAGTTTAAAGTGTCGTGGCTTGTATATTTAAATGAAGTTGTTCACATATAGTACAACACGATTAACTGTCGTTCACAACTTTTTTGACGTTACGACGACAGACTGTCGTGGCAATGGGAAGAGCTAGAACGACAGTCGTCAGACGATAAATAAAATGTCACAATAAAATGTCGTCACATTTTAATCGCAGTAATCATTTTTCGTTGCTATATTTATCGTTCTCTACACGTGTTCTGCTCCCTACTCTTCCTCTCGTCTCTCGCCTCGCTTTGCAGTAAAACTCAGACTCGTGCGCAAGGTGTATTTAAAACGGTGATGGCCAATACATCACCGGCAGTTTTCATCAATGCACCAAACGATTCTGTCGTGCAAACGATAAGGCTGCTGCCGTGAACCGATAAATTGTCTTAACGATCCTGTGGGAACAGCTATACATGACGGTCGTTCAAAGATAAAAAATGCACGACACAGTCACGACAGACAGTGGAGATGCGGGAGCAGACTAGAAGCGACAGTCGTCCAATGATAAAGAAAACGTTACGACATAATAGGAACGCGCCCTAATATAGCAACGAGACTCGTATGTGTGCACGCCCGCCGCGCGCCGTGTACGACACACACATTGGTAATCTCGCGGTGCTCTCGAGTTGCAAAGCGCGGGTTGGACGCGCCATTCAGTATATAATTGAAGCGTTGTTTGATCAAGAGTGCCTCAAATTCAGAATTGTTCAACATTTCATAATCATACTTTTATAATCGAGGTACCAATCCGATGAATACTAATTTTTTCAAATTATATTTACAACCTGTAGGTACAACGAAAATAATGTGAATACCCTACGCTCCAAGCGCACTAATTGTCTTATTATACAAAGTACATAAGTATTGAGAACGCACTCCACCAATCACGAACGTTCTTTTGCTCTAATCGCAGATTTGTGATTGAATTAGAGAGTTCTCATGTCGCGTCCAGCAGACCAATGGAAAAATGTGCTTATGACGATCAGTCGATTTAAACATTTTCATACTTTTCTATTCTTTTTTTTTAAACTTGACAATTTATATTTCGACCGGAGTGTTGCGTAATTTTAAAAGAACAATTTTTTTCTTCTGGTAACACGAACATAAGGGCGCCATCACATTAGACGCTTGTGAAAGAGCAGCAATGGCGCGACTGTGACGCGGTAGTCGCGCGTTTGTAAAACTTTCGTATATTTTAGTTCAGTAATTATGACTGCCAAACGACAATGGCACTGCCACAGTGGAGCAATATGTCACAACTCCTTCCTTTTTTTATATTATATTTCTCTTTTTTCTACATTTTTGTTTTGTATTATTATTGATGTTTTGATTGTCAGACTGTGTCATGAATTATATTTGCTATTGCGTTACATATAGATGTACACATACAGAAATGAGCACAAATCTATATTTGTCGGTTTCTTCACTCCATTCCCATACAGTCCATACCCGTCCAGTTCATTTTGGTCCGTGTATAAGAATTGGTAATGGCGCGGTTGCAGTGCCACTGTGGTGTCACCATACGTTTCTATAAGCGTCTAATTTGAAAGCACCCTTTGATGAAAGTCAAATCAATGGGTCGAAAAGTACCTTGTCACTACTCTTTGAACTTGTTCAATTGCCATATCTATTTCTTAGATTATATTTTTGCCTCGTACAAAATTGTGTTATTATTTATTTACAAACTTACTAAGTAGGTAACTCCGCTAAGGCAAAAGACAGCCCGGCAACATTGATATTCTAAGATTAACAGATAACTAGTTGAAACAATTGTTTTAAACGGCACTGCGTCGAAAAGACAACAATAATGTCACCGAGCAATCTTTAACTTTACGCGGTTAGAGTGAAGAGAATTTGAGATGTCGATTCTGACAACTCGTATATTAAAAAAAATATTATTATTACTTTTATACATGAAAATAACATCAAAATGTAAAAATTTAGGTTACACCACTATTGCGCTGATAGCCTCATTTTATATTCAGGACCTTGAAAAGACAAGATGCGTTTTGGTTTTCGCATTTATTTTACTACAAAATTCTTCGTTAGGTTCCGTCATGTCATCACGATGCGGGATTTTAAAAAATTATATTCGTCTACGTACTACCTGCCAGGACCTTTGAGTCGAAAATTACGTTTAGTTACTTGAAAAGTTACATTTTTGCTTCAAAAGTCACATTTTCATTATTTTTTGGTCAAAAAGTATGAGTGTTAATGGCGCATACACCTAAATCATAAAAACACACTTGTACGGGTTGAAACCACGTCAAACGTTGTCAAGCTTAGTGTTGTGTTGTAAAAACATTATATTTATACAGATGTGTACGAAAATCAAGCTACAAAGTAGGAATGCTCAAGAAAAAGTAAGCTGTAACGTTTTGTTTCTTTCATCTCTTGAGTTCCTTACGAGCGTATACGCACTACGTCCCGAGTCGTATAAGGGGGTCTACTCTCGATCTCCGTCCGAAACAATTACTGTCAAATAAATAATATTCGACAAAATTAAAAGTTATTTGGCAGTAATTGTTTCGGACGGATGTCGGACGGATCTAGAGTAGACCAACAGTTCCGAATCCGAAAAATGACGACCCGAAATGTCACAGGGGTCATTATATCTCTAGGTGTACAAGCGACATTCGTATATTCTCGGATTCACATCGGACTTGGTGCACAAGCGACATCCGAAGAAGGTCCGAGTTTTCTGAATTTGTATAGTTTCAGATTCCGAACGAATACGAATCGCATGCAGTACGTAAACGCGCCAGTGTGTAATTTGTGTGCTTTCGTAAACTATTAAGCATTGACTTTTAAAGTAACAAAATTTGCTTTAAAAACAAAAGGTTATTTAGAGGGTCAATAGTTACGGAAACTGTACAAATGCTACCATTTGACAACACTGCCT